GTTAAATATGAACTAAATGTGGCCCGGTTGTGGTTCGCGAACATGCTCATTACAGCTCCATTTACTTGATGATGGAGTAGAAAGGAGACAGACCTTGTCTAGATAAGAATGGCTAAACGTGTCCAAGGCTAGATGTCTAGCAATTACAGAAATGACTATTACTGCAATAACATTTCCAAAAAGCTTCTTTCCAAATCTTATTACCAGATGTCATCTTATATGTGAATGAGCTAAGCCTCTGCTGAAATCTGGTGTTATGATATCTTAATACATTGACCTGTTTTTCAAAACCAGCTTATGCTTTGCATGCAGTGAGTTACAATCCAGTCATATTTGCATTATTCAGACAAAAAAAGAAAACAAAAAACAATCATGAGTGAATGGTCACGATGTCCACCAGCTTAGACGGACATCCTTAGAAACTTCTCATGCCAATACTTTTCTGTTCCAAAGTAAAAGGTCCCAAGATCCTACCACAAATTCTCTGGAAGCCCTAACCTCAAACTGATATCAGTGCAACTGCACTTTGAGACTGGCTCTCATTATGGATACAGTAAGATGTCCTGCCACAGATGTATAAGAGCACATTTCTATGGAGGTGAACTGATGGCAGTTTTCCAAATCCAGGCCCTTTCCAGCATCCTAGTCTGCTCTGGGTCATTCACAAGCAGTGCTTTGGCTGCAGCGGCCAGCATTCAAACATTTACCGCAATCTGTAGGTCAGCACAAAGGACTGTGCCTACTTTACATTAATATGGCTTTTCAAGATTCAAACTAAATCCCTTGTTAACGTTTCAATGACAACAATATGCGCTGAACCCCAAGCAACCAGGTTCCTTCCCAGAAACTACACGGTGCAGCTTAGGTGTTTTAAATGAAACGTTAAACTGTTTATTACTGAAGCCACAGAGCTGCCAACGCAACTGGTGCAATCATGCTGCAACCTGCAAAGTCCAAAACTGAAGCATCTCATCTGAAGTATGAGTCATGGTGCATCAAACGAACACCATTTAGATAGGATTGGAAAGTTTTGGGCCAGTGTTTCTGCACAAATGAATTAATTCAATATGAACGTATTGAGGTGAATCTATAAGTAATTCTAAATACTCTTCATTCAGTATTAGTACAAGTACTTTACTTGAGGTACTAAAATGTTGCGTAACACTGTAACAGATATACCCAGCCACTTCAGGCTTTAGATTACACGCCATATATATGAGATGGGCAACATGACAAAATGTATCAATATCATGATAACTGATGTCACAGTATGCTTTTCTGAGCAGGTTTCATTGTAAAAAGAGCATAATTAGGAGCACTGCCCTAATCAGAATCTCGGCCAAAAATATATTACATAGGATATAAATCAGAAACTGATTTTTTTTACTAATTTGAAACACCATTAAATAGTAAATAGTGTTATTTACATTGTGACTTTTGCTAATATAAATCTCTGGACATGTGCTTGTGTGTTTCATGTGTTCATTTATCCCACAGTGACTTTCAGGTAATAAATAGGCTAATCGGCTATGAATAATTAGTTCTGTTAATTGGATTTATTGCAGCACAGCATGTGAAACGTTTACTGTTTTTCATAGTCTTTTTTCAGTATGGCACTACTGGTACTTTGTCTATTCCAACTCATTACACCTCAGGAAACCTTAATGTTGTGATGCATATGAAGTATAAAAATAGTGGAATCATGGTCATATTTTTGTCATATCACCCACCCCTACACAAAAAAAGATGGTTCTAAGGGTTCTTTAGTAAAGGCAATGATTCTATTTAGGACCTACTCTATTTAGAGTTCTGTATAGAGCCATTTCATGCTTATAACATGATGAAATGGTTCTTCAGACTGATGGAGTATGTGTTGTATATGGTTCTATATAACACCTTTTTAGAAATGGTTCCATATAGCACTGAAAAGGGTTCTTCTATTGTTATAAGCTTGACACTGTAACAATAGCAGAACTCTTTTAAGTGCTATAAAGAACCATTTTCAAAAATGTTCTTTAAAGAACCATACAGCCTACAACACACTCTCCATCTGAAGATCCATTTCACCATGCAATAAGCATGTAATGGCTCTTTATACAGAACTCTTTACTCAAGAACCCTTAAAGAACCATATTTTTATAAGTGTGTACTATATGGATTAAATGGCAAGAGAAGCAGAGCAGGGTTTTACAATGGGCTTACAATTCTGTATTATATTTAACCGTTTAAACAGGTGAGCTAACCACGAGATATACAACCCCAGACACGATTTGAAGGCCATAAAGTGATTCTACGAGCTGTGTGTGTAAACAAATAGCCAGCTTTGCATTCCTGTTATGTGATTTGAATGCTCTTCAACGCTCCAGCGCTCTCTCACTCCCCCAGTTCGGTCGCGGTCGCGCCTCAGGCCCACTTCCTTATTCCACGCTCGATGCTACAAACTTTCTCTGACATGTCTGAGGTGCTGGCCTGCGACGTCCAGACACGTCGGTGTCAGGTAACATGTCGTTTTAAGATATGTGCACAGTAACGAAAGTAATGAAAGGTAAGTCAGTGTTAGTGAGAGGTAACGTACCCCAGTGTGCTGATAAATCCATTGACAGTGCCCTCCGCGTACAGAGACACGATGTCCCCAATGTGAAGGAAACTAGACCTGTGTTCTGACATGGCTCCTGAAGTTCGGGTCTACAAGTGTAATCCTGAGGAGCAGAGGAGAGCGGGCTGGATTTGAGGGCACTTCCAGCTCTCTGAAACAAGCTCAGAAACCTTCCCCTGTATGTCGACTCAAAGGCTCAGTCCATTTGGCAGCGGGTGGAGGTGTGCTGCTGTCTGACAGGAAAACATAGCAAGTCTCACTCGGCAAGTCAAAGCGACTGAAAAGCTGCAGTACAGAAGGTGCTCAGTGGCGGTTTCTCAACTGACGGTTTTCTTCATGTTTGAAAGTTCTTCCTGTGAGACAAACAGGGCTTTTTTCTCCCCAGTACAGCAGCCCTATGGGGGAGGAGACTGTCTTACAGGGTTGAACAGCCTTTGCCGTGAAATGAAGGAAGTGATGAGGCGGTCTGCTGCTGTGGTATGTGAGTGCAGCGAGCAAGCCTGAACTTCGGCTGAGGGTGCAGCAGCGAGCTTACAGCAGCTGCAGTGAGAGGCACACTCAGATAGCCTGCTGGATTAATAGGCAATGAATGAATGATTAACAGCCGTTTCTGCTGATAACTATAGAGTGAGGGAAGTTAGAGAGAGCTGAGTGGGTGAGTGAGCGAGTGTGTTTGTAAAAAAAGGGGCGGGCGGGTGGGGGGGGTTGGATAAATGAGCCTCTACAATCTTGCAGAGGTTTTGTTTACTTCATCTTTATTGTGTAGCATTCGTTCATTGAAGACAGCTCATTGTGAATGTGCCGAGGGGAAGTCTAAAGAAAACTCCCTTTCTACCCCTCCCTGAGTAAATAAACAACAAAACTAAGTGTTTATTCAGGTTATTGACACACTCCTTCTTCTGTGTGAGGAACTGCAATCCCTCCAGCCCTCTTTATCAGATTTTACAGCAGGTTTAAAAACACAGTGGCTGATGACGGAACCAATAACTAGAGAAACACTGGTTTGAATATTCGGAGTTACATGAATTGTATTTTAGCACTAAAACATAAAAAAATGGGGGGAAATGTTTTATTCATTTTTATTCACCTCACATAAAGTCGATGTAAAGCCCACTGAATAAAATTAAAGTTTGTGTGTTGTCGCCCCAAAATGTCACTGTCACTCCGTCAGGATCATCCAAAACACATGTACATACTGCCATCTAGTGCCCAATAAACTAACTGCAACAGAACCACGTGGTTTCACGATGATAGACATTTTTCACCTTTAATCTCCAGCACGGTCACTGCTGAAATGCCGTCATGAAGGTGACCACAACTTGATGCAGTACAAGCAAACGCATTTAGTTTATCTCCTACTTTTTAAAACAGATTGAAAGGTTGTTATACTCTAATAGACATAATTATAATGCGTTAAATATGATGATGCAGGGAACTTTCTCTAGTTTATTTATATTTCTAGTTTCAGTGTCGCTGCGGTTATGGACTGCATGCTTGCCGTAACAATCAGTTCCATATGCAAGGCTTCACATATGTTTGAAATCAGATCTTATATTGTCCAGTTTTATTACTAATAATATTTGGTCTGGTAAACATTGCAGTCTGATTTACAGAATGTATTGGACCAATTAAGGAGTGCTGTGCTAACAATGGAGCAACTTAAGGCTCTGTGGGCAGTAATCCCTTTTATCAGTAGAATTCTTTATTTATTCATTATTTATTATGGAGCCCCTTTATACATGCTGTATAAATAAAAATTATGCGTGGCCACGACGTAGTACGGCATGGAAACAAGATAATTTATGTCGTGGCCACGACTTGGTAAGGCATGGGAATGAAATCCTAATGCACAGCTGCGATTTAGTAAAGCATGATCTCGTTCCCACTCCTTACTAAGTTGTGGCCACGACTTAATTATCTCATTCCCACGCCTTATTAAGTCGTTGCCACGCATTAGGATCTTGTTTCCGTGAGTCAATAAGGCGTGCCACGCATTATTTTAATTTATATGGAATGTCCCCAGCAGGGCTCTGTAAATGTATTACTTCACTATGCAGTATATTCTCTATTAATCCAAATGATCAATGAAAAAAAACATGCAGGAGCTTCTATATGATTCATAGTAAATTACTGGGACAGTTTTTATAGTTTACTAAGATATTACTCAAATATTCTAGATTACTATAAAACACCATCTTATATAGAGGTGCAACTATATCTGATTCTAATAGAAATATTATACAGCACTAAATCCTATAGTGTAATATGGAAGATTATTTTGGTAAAGGATAACTTTTTTCTTTTTATTCACACTAAACACCTTCAGCAGGTCTTTATACGCCTACTGAGGGAAAGGTGAGATGTACAGGGTGTCTCTGTGCTAAAATTACACACGGCGAGAAAAATTCAGAAGGTATCGCCCCACCTTCTCTTATTCTCCTCAGCTACAGTCAAAGAGGGGGTTTGGCAGCGCCGTCTGCATTTTGTACTGAAGACCGGTAACAGTCCAGTGGACGCTTTTCTCTGCTGCGGTATATTTGCTTGTTGGTCCGCTGACACTTTTAAACACTCGGACATGTTTCTTCAGCAGCCCTGCTTTGCCTACTACAGGACTAGGGACTTGTGTATGGTGAGAGGGAAGAGAGCGGAGTGCTGATAGGACCGTGTGTCTGACTCTGTCTAACCTCCTTCTCTCAACAAAACGACTCGCACTCACACAGCAACGAGCCGCCACATGGAGAGGAGCCGCTAACGTGAGTAAACTAGCCTTCGCTTAGCTTACGGGCTACATATACACCTGCTAACGTTAACACATCCGCTCGACGGGTTTCGGCGTGTTTGTGGAGAGATTACAGGCGTAGAGAAAGGCAATGTAATTCGTCGTCTGCATAAAAGAAGCCAAAACATGTAGCTAAGGTGTTTTACAAGCATTTTATTCAAATATTGCCAGTTTTAAAATGCGTTTGACAACAGGCTGTGAGCTCCGCTGTGGTTTGTTCTTCATTTAAGTCCAGGTTTTGTAACTTAGCGTTTTTTCCGTTTGGCTCAGTAGCCTAGTTGGCAGTGTTTGGTATCAGGTGCCACAAGTCTCAGCCAGTTCTCATGCTCGCCTTTGTTTCCCACGATGGCCTACCTTACTGTGGCATTTAATTAAGTCGCAGTGTTATAATTCAGTATGTTTTATTATTATTCATTTGTTGTTTTTTTAATTATAATGTTCTGAATTTCTCCTCGAGAGTTAGTGGTACAGCCTAGCTTGCTGCTTCTTTTGTTGTTAACACTACCCTCAGAGAAGAGGTGGCTTTGTGTGTCGGGAGCTTGAGAATGAATTCGGTTCAGTCCTGAAAGCATTTCTCCTATAAGGCCTTAGACTAACTAGTCAGAATAGTCGTGTGAAATAAAGCTCACCTACTGATCACCTTCTGCAATACTTCTTTACCTTTCAGAAAGTCTGTCTGCCACCGCTATGGGGACCCTCACCTGACCAGCCTCACCTTCTCTGGGTTAATATAATGCCGTTTTGCCCAAGATGACTGAGGTGAATCATGCTTATATAAATGAAAACTGTAAGGATGTGGGTAAAACGCTGGACTGGGGCTACATTGAATGGCACCAGGACGAGGACATGGCCAAAAGGACTGACGCCCACACTCAGACTGTTCATGGAACAACTGTGGACAAAGAGACACAAACAAGTAATCCCTTCATAATGCGGATAGACTTGGCAAGGACACCTTCAAGACTGAGGTTTGGGTCTGTGAAGGAAACGGATGGCATGCCCACTCCACTGTTTCAGTTTGATAGACAAGCCCCGGCCCGCATCTCCACATCTCCCACTTTGAGGAGGATGAGGAGTACGAGACTTCCTTCACGGGAGCCGGGGAGGATGGATAGCACTCTGGAAGAATCTGGGACCTGTGAAAGGACTTCACCAAAGAGTCCTCTGTCACCAGTGTATAGGCAAAAGTCTCCTCTTGCCGTCATTCCCACCCAGTCCAATGGGGAGGGTCACCCGGACGGTCATTCAGACACCTCAGTGCCCTGTGGGAAAATCAGATCACATAGATCAAAGACAATTGACAGCAGTGGCATTTGCACAAGGCAGAAATTTCTGAGTCTGAATGAGAGCGTCGACACCGACAGCACAACCGACGATACAGAACAGGTAAAAGGACACCAGGTTATAATGCAAACAAATAAATAGGGAATAGTTTACTGTGTGGCAGTGTCTTCAAATACTTCAGCACTCAAAAATAAAGGTTCTTGAATTGGTCTTAACTTGGGTGTATGGTATTTGTAATAGTTTATTGCTTTAGTGAATGTAAAGTAGTTTTTTCACCAAAGAACTCTTTTGGCACCTTTATTTTTTAAGTGTGCCTTGCATATTTTGGTGTTTTTTCCTGCTCTAATTCACCAGATCCAACTGAGCAGCTAATTAGCAAGCCCCTCCTGAGTTGAAAATGGTGTAGCAGGGAACAGAAAAACACACTAAAATGTGCAAGGCAGGGGTAGTCCCGGACCAGAACTGAGAACCACAGCTGTCTGCTTAAGGTGGAGGTACTTTTTGGCATGGAACAGTGATGGCAGTAATTTTAATAGACTTTACCTACTAGACTTCAGTCAATCTAGACTTAATAAGTATATCTTTTATTTGTGGGCAATAAATCAAATAGAAAGCCTCTGCATTCTTTCCAATTGAAGCCTGTCCTCTCGTTCTGCTCAGCCTCCTGGGGTGGCAATTCACAATGAAAGCTTTTGACAGCAAATGAATCAGCAGTTACATGCACTGACAGCTTCGGCTGAGCCCACATCTCCAAACCCCTTGAGAAGGTTCCTCTATTGGGCCCCCATTCACCACAGTCAGCAGTCACTGAATAATGGAGGGGTCAGTGAGCGATCAAAAGAATAAAAGGAAAACCCCGTTCCCCCAGTCCACGTATTCAACCAGGCACATCGGCTATAGAGCCGGGACATCTCAGCAGATGCGAGGGCTTTAAGGGGACTTAAACCCACACAATTACTTTAAAATGGCAATTTAGGGATGAGTGCCTGTGAAACCGATATTGTGCTGATGTACAGTGCGATGGTTCTGACGCAGTGGAGCCATTCGTTGCTTGTGTTGAGCCAGTTCAGGAGGTGCAGTGCTTTCACAGAGGCTGATCTTTCCCCATTACTGCTCACACTTACATCATATCTGTTTTTGATTGCAGGTGAAGGAACCCAGTCATAAAAGGTAGGTGTGCTGCTCAGCTGTCTCCACTGCTTTGCATGAACTATGGCCTTGCTAGTTAGATTTGCATGTGAGCCACTTTGTCTTTCCATTTAAAGCACATACAAAAGGTACAGGTCATAGTACATGCAAAATTCCATTCTGCCTTTCAGTCTACCAACTGGCTAATAGGCCAACAGGCCTGACATTTCACTTTCAGCCAAAACCAACAGTTCCTCGTTCTCTTCAATGGTTGTTCCCTCACTTGCTGCTCAACTTGTCTCATTTGAAGAGCCGTTTCATTAAACCAGGAATTTGTTTGTGTGGAAACACACCGTTGTCGATGGCTGCAACGGCACATTTCTCAGCAGAGTGCGGCCCCGATAGGGCGCGGGTAGCTGGGCAGAGGAAGGCCCATTGTTCATTGTGCTGCCACTTTGTTAGAAGCACATGAACTCAGTAAGGAGCGTTATTAGAGTCCCATGGTTCTGTGTGGACTAGACAAACTCTCATTAGAGCTGTTTTCCCCCACCGGGCCCGCTCCGCTAGCCTCCTGGACGATGGGCTCCTTTTCAGTGGTGGATAATTAGGCAGCTATTGTGGCCTTAATTACAGTGTGGCACTGTCTGATGGCAGAACACATCCTGGGATGGGGATTGGATGAGACAGTTCTGCTGTGGGGGCATCATTATTTGGTGGAGGTGCGAGGACAAAGCTCCCTTCTTCGTGGCAGCACCGTGGCTGGGGAATCTGTACAGAGGGGGCTTTCTGGCCTGCTTCAATGTAGTGGGATGGCATTATGGATGTGCTTTGTGATGGACGGCAATTAGCAATGACCTGTTTTCTTTCATAGATCTTAAGCCAGTTCTCATCCCCATTTTATTTTTTTTTAATCAGGAAAGGGACTGAACAACGTTTTTCATGTCAGGCCTTGTAGCTCTGATCTCTGTGTGTGGTAGGAATATGAAGCAGCTGGCTGTTACTAGCCTGTGAATACATCAAGGACATTGGTCTTTTGTAAAGTGTCTAGCAATTTGCAGATGGGCTGAAACATATAGAGCAAAATGTTAAGAAAAAAAAAGCGCTAAGTCATTTCAAAGGTTCCATCGCAGTAGGTACTGTGAGACTGGGTGTTTTATAAGTTCCAAGAATGTGTGTCTCATAGCAACTGCATATGACACTAGTGTTTATCAGTGTGTGGTCCTATGGTCAGGTGCTAACAAACACAGAATGGCTGATAGCAAAGCTGTCCACGCTGGCCTTGCCATGATTCAGCTTTTTTACTCACTTCACTAAAAGGATAGTTGTAATCAATTTATTTTTGCATTTAGTTGCTGCATGTGGTGTTGTTGCCGTAGCATGTATAATACAGAGAGTCATAATTCTTATCAATTTTGGAAGCGCATGTCATATTGATAAGTGTTACTTTATTCAATAATAACTAATACAGAGTAGACTGAAATTCTATAAGCTGGACACCAAAAGGTACAAACCCAATTCCAAAAAAAAGTTGGGACAGTAGGTAAAATGAAAATAAAAACAAAATAGTGAGTTATAAATTTACTTTAAACTGTATTTGAATGAGAACAGTACAAAGACTGTTTACCTTATCACTTTCATTTTTTTGTAAACATACGCTCATTCTAAAATTGAATTGTATTAGTGGGTAACATACACATCTGTGAAGGCACCATTAATGCTTAATACATTTTGAAGCAACATATGCTGCCTTCTAGGCTATGTCTTTTTCAGGGACATCCATACTTATTTCAGCATGACAACACCAAGCCACATTCTGCATGTGTTACCGTGTTATGGCTGTGTAATCAGAGTGCGGGTGCTAGACTGGCCTGCCTGCAGTCCAGACCTGTCTGCCACCGAAAATGTGTGCAAAAAAAAACAACAACCTTTACGGTTGCACGACTGAAGACTTGTATCACAAAATAATGGCAAAAAATGCCACTTTCAGAACTGGCCTGAATGCCTCTATCATGACTTTTTGTATTTATTCATGATTAACATTGTTTATGAGAAATATCAGTGATATGATTAATACCACTTTTAATAGAAAAAATAAAAATGCCTTTTGACAAAGAATGTTATGTGACAGCTGTTATCTTTTTTCAAACCACTTCTTGTTATGAATGGATATGCAGCATTTTGGAATAAAATTCTTCATATACAGTTGTAGGCAAAAGTTTGGGCACACCTGAACAAATGACAGGTTTCGTTAATTTTCTAATTGAAAATAAGTTGCCCCGTCCTCTACAGAGAATACATGACTGTACATATCGCTGTTGTCGGAAGAAAACCTCGTATCTCCATTTTTGAAGTTTTTCAGTTTTTGACATAATGTAAAAATACCTGTTACCCTTTATACTGTATGTAAATTTCATGATGAATGGACTAAAAGAAATGACCCAAAATGAGGAGGGGGGAGTCTGGTTCCATTGACTTACATTAAAAGTAAAGTAGGTATTTTCCTTCTCCTGTAAAGTTATCATTTTGGAGATACGAGGTTTTCTTCTAACAACAGCGATATGCAACATCACTTATGGCTACCACCATCTCTTGAGAGGACAGACTCAAAGCTGTGGGCTGAACTTTGAAACCTGCCTGTCAATTAGTTAAAAACATTTCTGCCACCATTTACAAGTGAGAGATTCTCTGTGACTCTGCAGCATTGTGCAGGGTTAATAGGGAACTGAAGCTGAACTGAACGTAATACAGAGGAAGTGTAATCAATATCAATAGGAGTAGGAGAGACCAAAGCCACAAGTTTAGTTAAATATACATTACTCTGTTATTATGTTTGTAAAGTACACCTGGAGCTTCCTTGTCAAAAGAAGCTTGTTTATTGGTTGTCTGCCATGCTGACGGCCATGAATTGCATTTTCCAGGAGATATTTACATCATAAATTCACCTGAGTGTGTGTGTGTGTACCCTTAACAAAAGCACAGGAGGCCAAAAACAAACACTGAATTTTGACTGGTAGAACTGTGCTGGGCTCCCACAGCCGCAGGCTGAGAAGTAGGCTAGGATGTTGATTTTCCTGTCTTGCCTCTCCTTTCTCTCTCTACTAGTTCCAGAAGACATGACAGTACTTTCTTTATTCTATATTGTTAAGCTACTTACAAAATATAGACCTATATGCACACGGTTGTTAAACATACAGTAGAAAGCAAAACATTTCAGCTCTTCATCTTTAGAAAGACACTGCAACCCAATAATCCTGTCCTACAAGCATTCTAGATGTGTGCAAATGTCACTCAGGAATTTACAGTCTTTTACTTATTTTCAGTGTCAGATTCTGAAGTTAAAAGTCATATTTGTAATAATTACAGAACTGTGAAAAAGTCAAACTTCATGTATTTAATTTTCAGTCAAAGCCATTAATTACAACATCTGAAATTTTAGCCTTGGGAATAAGCAGAAGACATGTATTTAATAGAAAATTTTGCAGAAGCATTAACGGCTAAATATGTCCACTCTTTGCCTTTATTAAAGCTTCCATTCTTTTCAGGAGGCTTGCTTTCAGTTTTGCACAGTAATCTGCAGGGAGCTGTTCAGTCCCAGAAGTTGGTTGTATTTTCTGCTTCTCATGAAGTAATCCCAAACACATTTAGTAATGTGGAGATCTGGGCTCTGGGGTGGTCAGTCCATTGTTCTGGGAACACCAGCAGCTACTTTATTTGATTTGCAAATTTTCTTCCTTTTCTCAGTAACGGCTTCTTGACAGCTACACATCCTTTCAGACCCATAGCGTTGTCTTCTCATAAAACTACATTTTTTTTTGTTTTTTGTTGTTTTTTTCAGATCTGAAGAAAGATTGGAACTTGATTTTCTTCTGTCTCTTAAAAATGAAAGCTTTAAGTACTGTTTATTTGTGAGAGTTTGGTGGTCTACCAGGTCAGGTGGTCAGCACAGTTGTCTGGAGTCCCATTTTATATTTTATTCATTTTTTTGAGCTCGAGTTTTAGAAACTCCTGTTCTTTCCACTTACTTTCCAATCACTTTCCCCTTCCTTTTGTAAATGGATTATCTTTTATCTAATTTCATCAGAAATATCTCCTTAAAATGAAAAAAACTTGTTACTTAATGGCTGTTTTGACTGGAAATTAAATAAACTAAAATGTGGTCTCTGACAGTAATGTATATAATTTCATGAAGTGGTGTCACCATAGCCGTGTATGTAAACACAGATTTAACCACAGGTTTAACCACAGATTCAGATTTATACAGACATACTGCAGGGAAAAAAACAAAGCCACATGGATTCCTTAGACTTGATGTGCCACAAATGCATCTGTTATGGTTTCATTGACAATGAGCCTCTGGAGCTGGAATGTTCTCTGAATTTCCCCTTAGTGTTCTCTTCTGCATGCCACACCCCTTACTCTTAACAGGTTGCAGGAGCGGAGGCGAAGCTCTGTGGTGGTGACTCTTCCTGGATTGGACGTTTCCCCTGGTGACCTCTTTGTTTCCAATGGTGCTGCAGATTTATTAAACCGATCCACATATTCAGGTGCTCACGTCATAATAATCATAATGAAAATTCAAACATTATTCAAACCATCATAACACCATAACGTTGGACTGCCCTTATGCTACTGTTATTAAGCATGAGTGTATCTAGTCATGTCCACACAGTTACTGTTTGACTTGCAGTTGAGTGTCATGTGTAGCAGTACTGAATATAAGTACCATTGAATGTGAATACTATTTCTGAATACTATGCATATTATCATTTTATGAATGAATTGCTCTGCAACAATGCCTTCAACATGACCCTTTTCCCAATCTACTGTATAGATACTAAAAAGTCGAAGTGGCCTTTTTCAAGACGTAGCACAGTAAGTGAAATGCTAGATTTTTCACGTTGTAAGTGTACAGTCTCACTGAGTGAGATCTACCTAATGACTGAGTTTTCTGTTGCACGTCCCCATCTTTGTGTTGTCTGCATTCTTGGAAAATTTCTGCCAATACTTTGGCCAGCTCAGCTGAGGTCGAGCGCACATTTGTTCACTGACCCACTTAGAGCTAAAGCAGATTTGCATGTCCCCTTCTCTTTCTGCCATCCTTCATAACACAAACCAGCAAGCAAACTGCGCATGCAGTAGAGTACTGGAGTAATCGTTGTTACACAATGTTAAACTCATGTGTTACGCAGGCATGCATAGTTGCGCTCAGTCAGTCACTCAGTTAAAAAACGGCAGACCAGAAATGTCTTTTGGTATGACCGTGAAGGACTGTAAGTTGTGTTTATCATGCAAGTGTAAGTAACCAAATTTTTTTTGTTGTTGTTTGTCATATTTTGCTGATTTTGTTGTTTTCAAGAGTAAGGCCCAATCCCATTTCTTATTTTTACCCCTACCCCTTGTTTTTGAGTGTCACCTTGCCCCTTGGAACTGAGTTACAAGGGTAGTGGTTGAAATCTTGCCCTACGAAATGGGACAACCCTCAAATAAAGAAGTAAATTACTCCATTAACAGCTCTGTAGGTGACCCTGCCAGTCTGCAGTGATAGCAGAGGAGGGTAAAGTTCAGCAACCTCACTGCTGGGCTTTAGTTAAATATAGGGAATTGGATGCCTTCAAAGGGGGGGGATGCAACAATAATTTCTTATTGCCCACCCCTAATTCTTCGGTGATATGAAGCTGAAGTCAGCTATTCGCTGGCTTCTCGTTTGACTTTTCCAGTCCCACCTTAAATGGTACGGCCTCAGGCATCAGAACTATGGAAGGTGGAATGGGAAATTTAGCTATCTAGCTACCGAGACATCAGCATACAGCTAGTGATTTTTTTTTTAGGCTTGTTATGAAGAAAAGGACCATAATACATTGAAACGACATCAAACTAAGATAATACAATGGTTATCACATTTTTTTAAATAGGGAAAATACTTACATTTGAGCAGTCATCTTGCTGGTTTTCTGTTTTTCCTTGTAAGCCTTTGAAAAACCTCTGTTTGGAGGGCCATGTAGCCGTAACACTTCGCCCTACCCCTCTGTCTTAACAAGACTCGGGACACCCTACCCCAGACAGGAATGCGCAAAACGGAGGGGTAAGGGATAAGTTTTAAGGGCAAGGGGTGAAATGGGATTGGGCCTGAGGCTAGTCAGAGGGTGGACATAAACCTTTACCCTCTTACACATATCTGCTTTATGGAGTGCACCTTTAACCAACCAAGAAAAACATTAGCTAAAACTGATACATGTGACTGTAACCTAAGCTAAGGTAATTTAACACTGAGCATTGCCTTTCCTGAATTAAACCCTACTTCAGAAATGACCTTTGTATCTCACGTCACTCCACAGCTGGGGATTTGCAAGCCAATTTGTGATTGTAGGAATGGGCATTTGGTGTATTTGTCAATTTCCCTTCTAAATTAAGCAAATCGTCTTTACAGTGTTGTGTGACTCAGGCTCAAATCTACTTACAAAATAATTTAAAATTAGATTTTCTCATTCCACTTGGTTCACCTGAATACCTGACAGAAGGTACTGCTCCCAAGTACATTTACATTTTTGCATACACACTACCATTCAAAAGTTTAAAATTAAGGTCTTCTAAAATATAAATCCAGTTTGGTTGCAAATATTTGTATAAAATTATTCTAAAATGCTGGTCTAAAAAAAACAAAAAGTGATTATTAGAAAATAGTATTTAAAATTTAAATAACTGCTTGTTAAGATCTTTTTTATATATTGAATAAAACATCTGAAATACCTTTTGCAAATAATTTACAATATTTAAATCCACATTGTACAATTTGATATTGTACATAAAATAACAAAAATTGTACCTATGGCAAGTGATTTGAAACCTATGATTAGTAGTGTATGTGTGTATTGATGTTATAGGTCAGCCTGCCTTTCATAGTCATTGTGGTCACTGTGGTGTTGAACACTTTCTTGTTGTTTTCCACTAGACTAAAGCCAAGATGCGCTCCTCTGCCGACATTGAGAAATGCCTGACATCCATTCAGATCCAGGACAGGAGAGACTCAGACTTCCAACGATACAAGGTACAGATGTCTCTGCAATGGCTTGTATTTGTACAGCATCTACCAAAGGTGTATTGAGAAGATAGTTATTTGGAGTAAGTTTAGTCTTTGACCCGTGGCAGTGTAGTTTGTGTCCATAAGGCCAACAGGTTTTAGACCTTTAGGGAAATTAGGTGTTATGGGTTCACCTGCTTTGAAAATTAAACTGCTGCAAAGCTCACATTTGTTGTAGAAATCAGTACTGGTAACAGTATGACTGTCTTATCTGTTTATATCTAGAGCGAATGGTGACATTGTCCACGTTTCTAATGCACAACTTTGGAAAGCAGAGCTTGACTTTGAAGTGAGATGTACGCCCACTTACAGAATGTCTATCAATAACATCAATATTCATAAAGCTGGTAGCACCTGCTTGGGCTGTTATTTACTGGCAAACAAAATTGGAACCCTCCACCCTGTGCTTAAATGAAGTGTCTGTATTAGAGAACCAGCTTGAGGTGTAGACATTGATCTTTCATGTTTACAACCATCAGTGACTAGCAGAAAAGCAGTTTTATTAAAAGAAAGACTTTGTAAGGGTGCTTTTGCACCTACCTTGTTTGGTCCGGACTTTTGGACTTTTCAGTTTGGTCCAAAACAAAATAACAGTTGTGGAACGTGCCTTGGAGCACGGTCCGGACCAAAGGACCAAAATATGGTCCGTCCAAAAGAGGTGGTCTCAAACTGAACCATGGTTCGGTTCGTCTGCAGTGTGAAAACACTTTTTTTTTTGGATGGTTCGGACTTTCAGACCAATTACAGGAAGTTGAAGCAGGCTATCATCACCTATTAAACTATAGTAGAAGAAAAAGAACCAGGAGAAAAGTAAAAATGAGCCATTGTAGAACATGGGGAGAGGAGAAGATTAAATATTCAATTGCAAAAAAAAAGTTGAGAGAATGGATATTAATTTTTCTTAAAAAGGCTACCCACCGAATTGACAGCATGCCAATGTCAAATGCACGCTCCTCTACAATCCAATCAGTGTTAAGTATAGACACAGCCAGTGTAGGTGATGATGACAGGACTCCCTAAATTGAGATGTGGACCAGAACTAACTGGATCAAATGTATACAAAGTAACAAAAACATAGACCTTGGTCCGGACTTTTAGGTGTGAAAACGCCCTAAGACATGCAAATGTGGATATTTTGGTCACAGCAGCATCATTGCTATTACTGACTGTTCAGAGCACATGGTCTAAACTATCTCCACTAAACAGACCAGCTCTCTTGTTACATCACTGTTACAGTGCGATTATTTTTGGCCCAAATCATAGTTTTACCTTTGTCTAATATGAGGTAATGCATGTGGTTTTCCACTGCATCAAACTGGGGTATTGATGTAAGAAAATCTTGTTGAAATGTAAATTTTAATGTTAACAAGATTTTATTTTTGTTATATTGGTCCATTCATAATAAAATATTCCTACAATGTAGAGGGCAGCTAGTATTTGAAAATGGAGGGGGAAATAAATTGGAAGGTTTCTCATGACAGCAAAAAAATATACTTTTGCTAGGCAAACGTCTGCGATGCTTCATCTGTTTAATTTTTCAGGAGATATTTCTGGAGAGATCAGATATAAGATAATCTACTTACATAAGGAAGAGGAGAGGAAAGGAAGTGGACAAACAGGTGTTTCCAAAGTTGGAGTTTGAAAAATATATTAAAATATATAGAGAAAATTAGACTGAAAGTTAGACCTGGTAGATCATCAAAACTGTCACCATCAGAAAAAAACAGTACTTAAAAACCCTGTGTACTAAAAAATGGTTAACTGTTTTTTATATATATATATATATATATATATATATATATATATATATATATATATATATATATATATATATATATATATACGTGTGTGTGTGTACAAGTACAATTTTCTGTGTATGTTTTTTGTTTTTTTTCTTGATGCTAAAAAATGAATACCTTGTGCTTAATGGCTGTTTTGTTTGTTTATATATATATATATATATATATATATATATATATATATGTTATGGTGGATCATAGTTTTTTTTTATTCACCTTCCCTCTTAGGACTTGACTCTGGAGGAGTTTCTGAAAGAGCATCCCCAGCTGAGGGTGGAGGAGGACCCCATGGCCCACAAGAGACAGGAGGCCATCTGGGAGCTTTTCACCAGCGAGTGTGTTTACTTCCTCGATCAGCTGATGGTGCTGAAAGAGGTATGAATTGGGGATATTAGTGATCAATCATATGAACAGATGAAAGTGTTCTGTGAGTTGACAGTCCAGTAACAAAATGTACTAGCTGTGGTAGAAATGCCAAAGAGTGTTAGTAAGGTGCCTTTTAACTATAGACTAGTAAAGCCCTAAATAAGAGCCTTATAATAAAAACTACAGTTAAAGTGCATTAATAGTGCCAGTTTCACAATAACCGAACAATATGGCTAAAATTCACTGAAATCAAACCAAACAAACCTATCAATGATTAAACTGTGGTTTTAAACATGATTTACCTTTGGTTTGTGTACAGGTTTTTCTTACCACCTTGTCAGACCTGCAGTTGCGGGAATGTTTACAAGACATTGACTCCTGGAGGCTATTTGCCAACCTGAATGAACTCTGCTTGGTATGATGGGGGGAAAAAATCTATTTATGAAAATGTTACATGCATTCCATGTGAGCTGTTGTGCTGTGAGTAGGTTAAAGTATAGATCACAATATCTGTTCACAAATTTGTGTTGGCTGTCTGATTGCAGGTTAGCTTTGGCTTCCTGACCAATCTGCTGCGTGTGATTAAAGAGTCGACTCCAGAAACGGACATCACACAGACCCTCCTGGCACTTCTGAACAAGGTGAACATGGTTGAAAAGTTTGTGTTAACTGTTTGTTCTCCTTACAGTGACATTCTCACAAAAGTTTAATGAAATGTAGTGATATGTCTGGCCCCATGAAGAACAAAAATGCAATTCAAAAAATATAAAAAAAAGACAGCACTGCACTGCACATGTGTATGTTTTCCTAAACATCTTTAGCCCAGACACAAAGCACAACATAAAAAAACATACTGGTTCCCTCTTTCATCCTCTTATTTATTCAAGACCTTCCACAATTAATCAAGAATCCCTCCATCTTGAAATGAACTGAGATCATATTACTTTTTAGACAAATTAACAGTCCTTCCTGAGGCTATGTTTGCAGTGTTTTCTGTGTTTTATTCTGACACCTGTTCCCTGGTGACTTTGCAGGCGTTTGGAGAGAGCATTTGCCTCTGTCTGCAGAAGTACTGTCAGAACTACACTACAGCCATTCTTTATCTGGACAGCCTGAAGGCCAGGGAGGACTTTGGCTCCTATGTGAAGGTATGCTTGGCCAGTCTGCTGGTGAGCTGGTTAGTCAGGACTTGGCCTGAACTCTGGGCCAGCCCTGGGGCACAGGGCAGGTTTCAGAGCAGACTGCAGAGTGCAACATGTCCATGCATTTGCTTATATACACACACGCATGCACATGTATATTGTGTGTGTGTGTGTGTGTGTGTGTGTGTGTGTATTCTTAATCATTGAATTCAGGTTTTCATTCAGTCCCATTATATAAAATCAGACACCTTGTCATGCAGTCTGCCTTTACCAACATTTGTGAAACAATGTGTCATTCTAAAGAGCTCACTGAATTTGAGTGTGGTACTATAGTGCGACGCCACCGTTGCAGTCATTTCTTCCCTCCTAGATATTCCATGATTAACTGTGAGTGATATTATTGAAATATACTGTAAGTGTTAAGGAACCACAGCAACTCAGCCATGAAGTAGCAGACCACATAAAGTTATAGAGCGGGGTTGCCGAGTGCTGAGGGTCACCATCGCTCTGCTGACTCAATAACTGAGTTCCAAACCTCCTCTGGCATTAACATCAGCACAACAACTGTGCACCAGGAGCTTCATGGCATGGGGTTCCATGGCCGAGCAGCTGCATGCAAGCCTTACATCGCCAAGCACAATGCCAAACGTCGGATGGAGTGGTGTAAAGCTGACGAGCAGTGTAAACATATTCTGTGGAGTGATGAATCATGCTTCTCTATATGGCAGTCTGCTGAACGAGTCTGGGTTTGGCGAATGCCAGGAAAACGTCACCTGCCTGATGGCACTAAAGTGTGGTGGAGGGGGGATAATGCTAAGGGGTTGTTTTTCAGGAGTTGGCCTAGACCCCTTAGTTCCAGTGAAGGGAAATCTTAATGCTTCCAAGGCATTTTGGACCGTTGTCTGCTTCCAACCATGTGGGAAAAGTATGGAGAAGGCCCTATTCTGTTCCAGTATGACTGAGCCCCAGTGCACAAGGCAAGGTCCATAAAGGCATGGTTGGGTGAATTTGGTGTGGAAGAACTTGACTGGCCCACACCGAGCCCTGACCTCAACCCCATCGAACACCTTTGGGCTGAACTAAAATGGAGCCAGGCCCTCTCATCCAACATCAGTGTCTGACCTCACAAATGCTCCCATAGACACTCCAAAATCTTGTAGGAAGTTTCCCAGAAGAGTGGAAGCTGTTGTAGCTGCAAAGGGGGACCGACTCCATATTAATGCCTATGGATTTAGAATGGGATGTCATAAAAGCTCCCGTAGGTGTCCCAATACTTTGGTCCATATTGTGTGTGTGTTTTTAAATTTACTTCCAGCTCTAGCTCTTATCTACACCTGATGTGTTATTGTAGTGTTGGGTTGCAGAACCTTTACTGAAATTCCCTTTTTCATCTTTTACAAGCAGTTTATTATATCTCCAGCAATTCACAATTAAGGTAATAACTGCTCTGGTCATTCTGAACTACCCCACTATGGCCTGTTACTCCTCATCACCTGTGCCCTGATTTTCAAGTAGTTAAAAAACAAGCATTGATGGTGTTTCTTTTAAAAATAGTGTATATCTTTTTATTTTACTGAGTAAGTATTATAAAAGCATTCATTTAAAATTGGAAAGTTACCTGTCTGAATACTGCCTTTTCAAAACCTTAACTTGGATACTTTCTATATTTCTATGTTCTGAATACTATACTAAATATTCTGTGTACATACCTTTACATCTCAACCCTCTTTATGAGCTATTTATGACAAAGAGGCTTTAATTTTACATTTACAACAGTGTACAACATCATATGAGACAAGATGGGCTCATTATGGTTTAATTATGTATACTTACGAATGGTATTATTGACTAAATGGTATGGTATTGTGGCATTATTGAGTAAAGATGATTTTGACAAGTCAGTTTCTATCTCCCCTTCTTTCTCTGTCAGTGGTGTGAGAGGAAGGAGCAGTGCCGCAGGCTGCAGTTGAGGGATCTGCTGGTGGTTCCTCTGCAGAGGTTCACTCGCTACCCTCTGCTCCTGAAGAACATTGAGAGGAGGAGCTGCAGTAAAGCAGAGGAGAGAGCACTGCAGAGCGTGGTGGAGTTGGTGGACAAAGCCATATGTAAGCCCATTACTCTGTACTATTAGCATTTAACATGAGTGCAGCCTAGGGCAACGCTTTTGTCATGAAGACTGATCACACTGTGATCGGTTTTACTGATGGCGCAGAATGTATCTGTACATATATATTCTGCAAGATGTGTGCTTGTTTTACAGCAGTTGACTAACAGCTCACAGTAATGTTTCGCTACATTTGTTTGCTTGCTTATTTAAGTCATAGCCTCTTTGTCTTCAGTATTATGATATTTGACTTCAGTGTTTCCTGATCTTGATACTAGAGTCCATTTTCCTTGCTCCAACACATCTGCTTTTATTCGTTAGCTAATTGACAGCTCATGAGTTTAAAATGGGTGTGTTGGAGCAGGAAGGATAACGTGCAGTGAAGGGCTACTCCAGGATTGGGAAACTCTTACAGCATTGTAATATGAGGCACAGGCCGCCTCATTTCCACTTGATATAGTATATTTATCGCAGCTGATGATCATCTTGCATTATTCATCAAGCAAGGAAACTCAGATCTTGTCAGAGTAAAGCACTCATGTCAGAACAGAAATTACAAACAAGAAGTGTCAAGTGACAGCTCACTTTTCCTGTTTGTTAAGTGCCATCATAATATGGGTAACACCATTAGGACCTGGTGTGACAACTGTAGTGAGAAAAGTTTAGCCCGAGTGGCAGTTATAAAAAGCACAAATGTGAAATGAGTCAGTTATTCCTGCCTTAGAGCTTGTCAACCCAAGCAGTCATTCAGTTTTTATATCAGAGAAGACTTTGCCCAATATAAAAACAGTGTCACCGACAGGCTATCCACAGGGCTCAAATGTCAGCACAAAGATTAGATTACCTGGAAAAAAGACTACACCTTAGGCATTAACCATCTTGCCGTTATTTGAATAGATTGTTCTGACACTATTTTGTGTTTTTTGTGGACATGGATTAAACCTAGTCTTGGACTAAACTTCAGTGTCACTGGTGTTTCACCATTTAAAACATAAGGCCTAATCTGGCTCTGGGAAACCAGCCTTAAAAGACAGTTTGGAATTAAGAGCAAGTTGTTTTTCTTCATTTGCTCCATTGATCTAATACTAAGGTCTTGTATGTATGACCGGACTCTCACTCTCATAACTACACAACTTACACATTAGTTTCCTAGTAATAACTGAATAAATCATAGTAGTTAAATTCAACTAAAAACGGCACAGTAAGCCTAGGGGTTCAAGGGGTTCACAAACTCTGGCGTCATCTTCGCTATGTAGTGACAGTGTTGCCATGGTTTATCAACTAGAGATCATGGTGTTCTGCTTATGAGAACATACACTAGCAATAGATTTCAGATGTTTTAGTTTGGCAAAGCATTTTATTGTTGTATGCTGTGGTGTTCTGTCAGACTCTACCAGCATGTCTTGACTTGTAGAACCGTTTGTGCTTCGAGTCAGAACAAGACTGGCAGGCTTTGACAAACAGGCCTAACCCAAAGTGAAAGTAATTGTTTCTGGGTCAGTTGCAAAGCATTACGGAAAAAGCGCGGCTTATTTCAACACTGTTCTTTCTCCCGTAAGTGATGTGAGGGTGTGTCTGCATTAGTGTATTGCACTGTGATGTGACTTCAGGTAATATCTGTGCATTTGACCCGGACAAGTCCGTCCTCTACTGGGTGTGGAACGTCAGACTATTATCTCAGGCTTCCATGTCTCAGAATGATTAAAAGATCTTTTGCAACCAGCCATTAGAGAATAACGTGCAATGAAATTAGAGTTCATTGTCACTAAGGGAACGCCTGAAAACTGGATCTCAATGAAGCACAAAGGCAGTTATGTTTGTTTGGAAGGCGTGGATTCACTGACTGCATTCAAAGACCTGTTTGAATTGAATGCAACATACTAATGATCTCTCTCTCTCTCTCTCTCTCTCTCTCTCTCTCTGTAGATGATCTGGAGGGCAAAGTTAAATGGCTGGATAACTATCAGAAAGTAAAACAGCTAAAGGAGGCCTTGGTGTGGCTCCCAGTATGGGAGAGAGAAAAAAGGGCACACGTTCCTGAGGTTAATATTTTAACTCTAAGATCTTTATTCATAAGCCTTTTCTCCTGGACACAAATTAAGAATGGATGTATAAAATCAAGCAAATAACTCTGCAGTCTCCTTAGACACAAACTAGAAGCAACAACAGCTGGCTCCCGAGTGGCGCAACTGTCTAAGAGTTGGCCCTATCATCTGGAGATCGCGAGTTCGATCCCTGGTGATGCTACAGCCATCCGTAACCGGGAGTCCAAGAGAGCACAATTGGCCTTGCTCTCTCTGGGTGGGTAGGATGGCCCCCCTTCTCCCCCCGTCACTCAACGCGATGTTAGTCAGCACAGGCGTCTGTTAGCTGACGTAACAGATCTGGCAGTTGGCGCCTTCCTCCGAGCCCGTTCAGCTGTCCAATGACGTGTGAGCGGCAGTTCGAAAAGATGCGGCGACTGGCTTCACAGGCCTCGGAGGAAGCCTGTTTTAGCCTTCACCCTCCTGGTGTTGATGGTATCGTGTGATTGGGGGAGTCCTAACTAGCGGTTGGAATTGGAGACGACTAAATTAGGGAGAAATCCGGTAAAATTCCCCCCCAAAAAAAAGCAACAACAGCTCAACAATGAAGCAGTAGACCACACAAACTCATTGAGCGGGACCACTGTGTAGTGAGTAAAAACAGCCTATCCTTTGTTGCATCACTCACTCACAGTCACAGTCCTAAACTGCATACAAAGACATTTGAAACAATTATATGCCTCCAACTTTGTGGCATCTGTGGCCTGCACAGAGTGCCCTGCACAGAGCCATGACCTCAACCACACTGAACACCTTAGGGATGAACTGAAATGTCTTTCCAAGGCTTTACTCAAGATTTTGGAATGTGTCTGTGGGAATATGTGCACATATTCCCACTGACAGACTCCAGAATATTGTGGAAAGCCTACCCAGAAGAGTTGAGGCTATTATAGATGCTAAGAGGAAGTCAACTTCATATTAATGGTCAACTCATGGTTTTGTAATGGGATGTCCAACAAAATGGTCAGGAGTCCACATACTTTTGGCCATGTAGTGTATGTCTACAGCCTATATGTCCAAAATGAGTAAGTTAATTAGTCATTTCAGCTGTTACGTTGCATGCCCTCACAGCTTGTATAACCTTATAGGAAAAGCACTGCTAATAGAATTAGATGCTCTGGAGCAGGCGCACATGAGCTTAAGGTCACCATGCCCAAAGCTTCAGCTAGCGGGGTATAACCCAGCATTGGGCTATGGAACAGTGGAACTGCATTCTGTGGAGTGATGGAGCTCTGTCCAAGCTTAGCTTTGCAGTGAGCTGGAGTTTGATCCAGAATTAATCATCTTATGGCTGAATCCAACCAAATCCTCACAGCAGGCAAAAACTCCCTATTAACTCTTGATTTGAGAAGAAACATTGGATGAAAAGGTGTCTACAAACATGTAGACATGGTGTTTTAACAAAGCAGTAAACAGTTCTAAACAGTGAGATCATCTGAAATATTTATGAAAATGTAAAGACAGTACTTGGCAAGCATAATGAATCCCCATCATTATAAAATAGTGGATATAATACGATATATTTTTTTTAACACATTGTTGCTCTTTGTAAATAACGGCTGATTAACAGTTGTCATTTCTCACAGAGTCTGAAACACTTGTTAAAAGCAGTGACTCTGGAAAACCTGGTCTCTAACCGTGTTCTCCTGTATGAGGGGAAGCTCATACTGACAGGTGAGGAGTGAACAAAGTACTTCCTCATGTAGATTTATTAACAGTAACTATTCTTATGCTGCTTTATCTCATAGTGAATTTTAGTACAGTGGTTCTGTGTAACTAACTGATCCCAGTTTTATTGAAACAAATTAGCATGATTTTCTGTGTTCATGCATATAAGTTCTATTCCCTTGATGTGTACATGTACTTACATCACGCAGTTATATTTGTATGCCTGAGCTGGGACTCAACAATTGATGAACAGAGCAAAATCAGATCTGTTTTAAATCCAATATAGCATGTGTTTGTTCTTCATTGAGCTGTGTTGTTTATTGCCCTTTTAAACCATAAATATAAAATACATAAAGTCCACCCTGTTACTCACGTCAGTGCAAATGTTTGCTTCTGTGTGAACAGAGAATGCAAAGCTGCATGAAGTTTACCTGTTTCTTTTTGATGAATTCCTCCTGATCACCAAGATCAAACGAAGTAAAAAGGTACAGCATTTCAAGAATTTAATTAAGTTTACTGCACATGGCACACATTTTTTGAAAATTTTGTGTTATGGCAAAGAGTAGCTACTTTAAATACTGCAGACTGCTGTGTGGCATATAGGGGAACTCCAATGATTTTTTCAAAAAAAAAAAATAAAATAAAAAACACTCATTTGTGATACAAAATCATTCAGAGTGGTTTTGTCCAAAAATGACTGACTCAAATTTCTTCACAGTGGTGATGATAAGAACCAGGGGTCTCAGTGTCCACAACACAATGTATCTGTCCACAATACATGTATCTTCAGATATTTAATATTTAATGTTGATAATAATAAAGTAGTGGTAAACCTGAAAAAAGGCTTCTTGGGAAGCTACGTTAACACTGTATTTGTAACTGTTTCAAAGAATAACTTTTTGTGAGGTGGCTTTTAGAGGTGAACAATTCTGACTCCAAATCTCTTGACTCTTTTTCTAAAATGGTGCCTTTCACATCAAACCACTCTGAACTTTTTTTTTTTTAATAAATAATTGTATAAAAGTGTTGAAAATTCTGTGGAATTCACCTGTAAGAAGAAGTCCAGCTTTGACAGGATGTAGAAAGACAGTAGCACAGTGAATCATACGAGATTTAAAAAAAAATAGGAAAAACTACACTGTTCAAGTTAAATGAAATGTCTTAATGTACATGCAAGTCCCAGCCTGTATTGTGTTGTATTGTGTTGCGCAGCAGAAGTCTGGAGGGGTGGACACACATCCCCTGCGTCCTGCGGTCAGCCAAGAACTGGGGCAGTTACTGCAGGAGGGCTGCAGCTTCACAGTGCTGGACCAGCCCATCTCACTGGACCGCCTGCAGCTCAGAAACATAGACCAGCTTAACGCTACAGGTTAATGACCAGACTAGAGGTTCCTTCTGTAAGCCACAGCATGATCTCTGAGGAGCAGTGATTGCTATTACTGAATGGGCCATTATAGAGTAAAGTACAGGCACAGCATACATTGTTTTGTGGCTCAGTGTTGAACTTACAAATATCTTTTTCAACCTTCTAGCATCTGGGCTTCCCTATTCCTTCATTGTAATGCATCAGAATCGCTACCAGCAGTGCATCGGAGTCTTTGTTCTACAGGCTCAGACTGAATCTGCTAAGGTGAGAAGCATGGCGTCCTGCTGTAATTACACTCTCCATTGCCTCTCGCCCAGCTCACACCACCTGACTCCAGCCTCACTCAGTCAAGCCTTTTAACAGTTGGCCTACGTCAGCAGCAGTGTTTGTGTCCAGATCAAGTAACTCACTTTTAATGTCACGTCTACAAACAAAACCCTGTGTCCCAGAAAGCTTTCTTAAAGGAATAGATTAGCAAAGATCAGATGTACAAAATATTCCCCTTTCTCCAAATGCAGTTGATCAGCCAAGGCATGTTTGGTAGTGTACACTGACAATATTCAATATAATATATATACAATATATGGACAATATTCAGGCTTTAGGAAGAATTCTACAGAATACTTGCATAACTAACTAATCTAAAATAACTGTTTTTAGCAATGTAATGTGGTTTTGTCCATTTTATAGATAACAGTACAGTGTCTGAAACCACATTATCAAGTCTTGTCTTGAGATTAATATTTGGGGCAGGTGTGATGATTTAGGCATGCAGCTTGCACAGTGCTAGTTAAAATTATTACTAGCTAGATACATTAGTGTAGCGCTGTCGCCTCCCAGCAAGAAGGGCCTGGGTTCGACTCCCCAGCCACGTCCTTCCTGTGTGGCGTTTACATGTTCTCCCAATGTCTGTGTGGGTTTCCTCCCACAGTCTAAAGACATGCAGTCAGGCCAACTGAACATGCTAAAATTGCCCCTAGGTTTGAAGCTGTGTGAGTGTATGTGCATGTTTGTCTGCCCTGTGATGGACTTGGCAACCTGTCCAGGGTGTTTCCTGCCTCCTGACTTGTGACTGCTGTGATGGGCTCCAGCACATATATATATATATATATATATGTGTCTGTGTGGACACAGATACAGCGTGATTCAAAAATATTCATCCGATTTCAAAATGATTTATTTCACTTGTAAATCGTTACAGAACAATACAGTAAATTGTAAATGGTTTAAATGAGCATAAAGTTTGTGTAATTTTACCAATGCTCAGTATGACCTCCTCCAGCTGTACGGATAACATCAACACCATAGTCAAATTCATCTCATACTCAGTTGAGCATGTCGGGTGTCACTGTACTCACAGCTCTTTCAATGCGATTTTGGAGATCATCCATTGTTGTGGAACCAACGACGAACGCTCAGAGTTGTTGGAGGTTCACTGCCCATGAAAATCACGTTGCACAGTTATGACGGATTCACTCTTATTGAAGTGGAGAGCGCAAACCGCTTTCTGATTAGGGGTCACCATCTCCTCTCAGACTGAAGGGAGCCATCTTTCAGTGACCGTCAGAAACTCTATGACCCCCTCTTTCAGTTGGTATGCGATTGGTTTGTTGGCACCTCATGGTTGTAAAAATATGGCACTTTGAAATCTTTTTTGAATCTTTTTGAATCACCCTGTATATTAAACTAGGGATGCACGATGATATCAGACCCAGATAATTGTTTAAATATTGTATCGACTTTAGACCCGTTTAGATTCACTAATATTTTAAACCAATATTTGATATTAAACTCCAGAAGAGCAGAATGTTTAGGCGACTCTGGGTTGCTGTGCTAAAATATCTGTATTTCATTGCATTTGTAACCTACTTCGTACATTTTTCTATAATGCTAATCTAGTCCCGATTTCTACGTTTTCTAAACGCGTACATATGCACATCAGCAATTACTTACATGAAATCAGTAATTCAGAACTGTGCTGACCTGTAAAAGTGGGATTTGTCTATGTTTGTGCGTATTACAGAAAACGTGGCTGTTGGAGATTGAGGAGGCAGTTGGCGCTGTGCTGAAGCGCGACTGTCAGCAGCCTCGGATAAAGAACTCCTCTCTCTATCTGGAGTCATCACAGATCTAACTTCACAAACTCTGTACAGTCACCATTGTAGGACACGTTCACTACACTCCTGTTCTCTGACACCATTCCATGTGACTCTAACCACTAATGAGGCCTGCCAGGGTTGGAGCATTCCAACACAGTTGTTTTTCTTTCTGACACTGAGGTCCTAACTGTAGCAACCTGTGTGTGGTGCTGGTGCCACTGACCATTTTAATTCCCATGAAGAGCTCATTCAGGTTGAGCAGCAGCGTAAGAGCAAAGTAGATGGAAATCAGAAATGGCACAGTTGTGCAGCTGTATGGCAAACGGCTGTGTTGCTGTACCGTTTCACCCATTGTAGATTAAATGTGCCACAGAGGTGAAATATTTTGGCAAACACAGCACTAAACGCAGCCAAAATGGACTCTACTGTATTAAGGCATAGATCATAATACAATTTGTGGTGTTTTTTAATTAAAGTTTCTTTTGAAACTTGTAAATAATGCATGCGTCTGTGTCCTGTTTTCTAAGATTTTGTTTACAGAGTGATTTTACATTAAGTTGATGTGGACAGTTCATAAAGACATACGCAAAAGTTGGGACACCCCTGGTCAGATGATGTTTTGATCTGTCTACACTTCTGCACATTTCACTGCACAATTACTGTTTATTTTCTGAATTTAGCATATTGGAAAAAAAAATTAAACAAAATAAGCTTTGTGCAAAAGTTATGACCTTTTATATATTATGATTCCCCCCAACTTAGCAAATAAATTTAAATTTTGCCCTAAAATTTGCAAAAAAAACTACGTATTTAGGTTTCCCAGCTGTAAAGGATGTTATTTCCACTTATCAAATCATGCGATTTGACCAGGAGTTTTCAAACATTTGCATACGACTGTAAATATGCTATCTTCAGTAATTACTTATTGCAGTGTTGTGTGTATGATGCATTGATGGTGGGATTCAGTCAAACATTGCACAGCAAGTGAAAATAGAAACACCTACTTTATTTACTCAAACATATTGATGAAAAAATTAGAAAACAAATAATACCTCTGGACATAAATTATGTTCATAATCTGTTCTGACATCATCTAACCATTCAGATAGTCTTTCCATACCAGCAGTTAGTGGTAATCTGAGCGTACAGGCTCTCGACTCAAACCACATGATGAAGAGCAGACGTGACGGTAGGAAAGCGCGACTTAAGGCACACTCACGTGATCACACAGTAACACCCTGCTATTCAGATGAGAAATGCAACGGTTCACAACTCATGCACAATTACGCACATGATAACAATCTATTACAGTGTAGTGTTACTTCTAAAATGGACATTAGTGATGCTTTACATAATAAATGACTGATTTATTTCTCCCCCCAAGCATGTTTGTACAATATTAATAAAATGATCTTTTTCCTGAATAATACTTTGCAAATATAATTACAGCATTGCTTTAATCCCCAGGAATGATAGTGCGTTGTGGCTGCTAGTAAGTGCAAGACCAGGCAGTCTATGGCACTATGATGGTGAGAGATCTGTAATCTGCAGTATAATTAACATTCAAATCACTAGCAAATCTTTAACAGACTTTTTCTTTCATAATAACTTAGAAAGAGTGAGAGACAAAACCTATAGTGTTACCAAGGCTGTGAGTGGAACATCAAAGCTCATGGCATAAAGTAGAACAAATGATGGGGACTATACAGTCGAGAGGTAGGTGGGGCAGAACAAAGTGAATTTTGAGTCTATACTAGTGAACATACATGCTGCTCCTGTTACATCTTGGGGGGGGTGTTAGAGAGAAGACACTGCAATGTGTAAGACTGTAAGCATGCACTTCAAATGCGGTACCACCCCCACCATCTGCCTATAGAGCAATAGATTGTGGATTAGCTATACAACAGCCAATACAGTGCTGAAGAACTATACAGCAGGTGCACCTGTGCAAACAGTCTTTACATGCTAACGTTTCTTATGTGTGACAATCCACAGTCATCATACGAGCACTTGTCATGGATGGATGTCAACATGGTCCAGTGCACAGGTTAAGCAGATAGTGACTGCATCTTGGTCTTCATTGGAGGTTTTTTTTCCTCGTAAATGATGCGTAACGCTCCTCACGCTGGCTGGAAGTGAGAGATGACTTGATAAGATGCAGGGAGAGTGATAGCTGAGGCCTAAGAAATGAAAGCCCCAGGAACACTGAAGAGGTTGCTTTCAGAAGTGCTTTAGCAGCCCACATTTTACACAATATACAATCAATATATCTTAGGCAAACTATACAGCATCTACACCTCACTCCCTCCTGCATACAAATGTTCACGTGTACACGCATACAACTACAGCCACAGCACCACAATTATTGCTTAACAGCAGAGCACATACCTGTGCAAATGATGGATTTGGTGAGAAGTCATATAACCAGTTCATGATTATTAGTGGACTCTGCATATGTACTGTCAAAATGCACCAGTTAGGAAGTGATGATAAGCTCACTGGACAAAAACATTCTTTGAATGCATCTTTTATTTTCTAATACTTGGCTGTACATCTCCTTGCCTTTATAACAGCACCAATCTTGTCAGGTAAGGACTGTAGCAGGCTCTTAAGTTCCTGTTCATTCTAAACCACTCTTCCACATTCTGGGTGTTCATTTCTAGAATTTTTGTGCGCCTTTTTCCATTTCCATTTATATTTCTGCATTTGCCAGATGCTCTTATCCAGAGCGACTTACATTGAGCGATACATAAAGCGATAGAGAGGTAGGTGAATGTATCATCAGGAGTCTTGTCCAAGGACTCGTATTTCAGCATTTCAACTGCTGTTCCAAACTAAGAACTGGGATTGAGGTCTGGAGATACTGCTGGCCAGTCACTGTCCCAGTGAACCAGTCAAATACAGACACCCTACAGTTGCCATCCTGGAATGTGGGAATGTCAATGTTGTGTTCTACTCGAACATGAAGCATAACGTTAGAGAAAGAGTGGGCTAAAAATGGACAGGAGCTGTCTCAAGACTCGTGTAATCCTTACCTGACAGGATCAGCGCCGTCAATAAAGCATTTGGATACTTAACCAAGTATTAGAGAAGAAATCATGCATATCCAAGGAACTTATAATAATGCGTGTTGTATTCATGATTCAAGATATGAGCAGCATAGCAAGCATGTATTTTACACCACCATTACTTGGAAAATAATAAAAAAAAAACATGCCTGTAAAAATGATACATATTCAGGAGGATTTCAGCCGAGTTGAAAAAGACTCTGACAAGCCTTAGACATTTTTCCACAGCTCATCTGTGCCTTCATGTAAATATCTGGCACCAATCCAGATCTGTCTAAGGACAGTGTACACAGCCTTTGGTTCTGACCACATTCCCTGAGCCAGTCACTAAGATGAGAGCATGCTGTAGCTGATCAAGCTCAAGCCCTCTGTACTTGCATCTCTCTATCTCACCCTATTCTGATTTTAACCTTATGACATCATTTAAAAAAAAAGAAAAACAACACCTTTGCCTGAATGCCACTCTTGAACATTCACTACTGCTGTGTTTAAGCTTAGAGTAAAAGTCTCCCAGTCTTGGCAGTCAGTGGACAGAATCTGTTAAAACTCATTTAAAACAACTTCCATTACAAATAAACATGGAAAAGGGCCAAAACGTACAACACTGCTGTATTTCTCTCCCTTTTTTCAAATTTTCTGGAGCACCAAATGGCCCCAGAAGTGACCAAGGCACTGTTCAGATGAGGACTGTCACTCTGGTTTGGCTGCTGCACTTTCTCAAGTCCCCCTCTCTGGCACAACAGAGAGGCCACCTCAAGCCCAGTCAGCAGATCAAAGCAGGCAGCTCCTCATCCTCCCCCCTGCAGCCCTGCTGCCCCACCACACCTCTGACCCCTTCCTGTGGAGCTGAGTAAAGCTTCTCTCCTGCATGGGGAGAGTCAGTTTAGAGTGTGTGAAGGAGAGGCTAGAGGAGCAGCAGGCTGGAAGGGCAGGGAGGTGGACAGTGGTCAGCCCTGCAGCTCCTCATAACACGCCTCGCACACTCGCACAGCCTTCTTAGAGGACGGCGTCAGGGCACTCTTCGATGAGCACTCAGCGCAAAAGATGTTGCCGCAGTGACGACAGTGGTGCTGGAGGAGACGAGACAGAGATGGTGAACAACAAGGCTTTAGACTCGCTGAGTCAGGCTGTTCATAAGTTTCGGGGGAAAAAAATATCATGTCAACATTTGGAATCTTTTCTTTTTTTAAAACAATACTCCTAAATAACAAGTAAAAATACCTTTCAGGGCTGTGTGTACTCTTTTTGAGCAGGTAGCACTAGTGTTCTGAAAGTTGTAAATGTTTAAAAGTTTTAGCATCAAAATAAAATAAAAAACGCTTATAAAAATTATTCATCTCAGTAAGTACAACAAATTATTATTTTAACCGTGAAAACACAGAAGCAGCATGTAAAAGGTTCAAGTTTTAACATTAATTTTGCGAAATGTTCAAATAATTAATATTTCAGATTCCTCACAAGGGGGCACTATTAGCACTCCAGAAGCATTTTATTAAGCACGAGCAAACCCACACCAGCAGTGATGCATGTATGATTGGAGTCATAAATTAAAAAAAATTAAGTAAAGTAGTTTATTACCTTATTGTACAAGTTCCCAGCCCTAGTCCTGGAGAACCCATGCCCTGCACATTTTAGTGTGTTCCTGCTCTAACACACCCACTTCTACTCAGGAAGGGATTGTTAATGAGCTGATTAGTTGGATCATGTGTGTTGGGAGCAGGTGAAATATTTAAGTATGCAGTGTAAGGGGCACTCCAGGACCGAAGCTGAGAAACATTGCCTTAATGTAAGGTACATCATGATTTTTAACTACATCAATTCATTCTAAAGCACTTGTTATGACACTTATTTCAGCAGGCAAACTGAAATCTTAAATCATCACTGGCTTTACATGACATTACAGCACCAAGCTAAACAACTTTTGGGCATGTTGATTGAACTCATTCCAACAAACTGTATATGACCTAGCAATAGGTGTGACTAGCCAGTGGATAAGTTACCTCTAAGTACTACAGAAAGAGCTTTTCACTTTGCTCTGCTCTGAAGTTTCAGCCTGGTTCCTTATTCAAACAATGGATATTTCTGCCCGTATTACCAGGTAAACCACATTTACAGTTCAACAGAGGACGCTGATTACTTCAGTTAAAATGTCATGGAGAAAAACTCAACCTGTATTCCAAGTGAAGTACAAGCGTTTTGGCTTTAAATTGAAGACTAACTAGGTACTGTCTCAAACTCAGATCCAAATCAAGAACTGCTGATTTAAGCTGAGATGTCTGCGCTGCTTGTAATGAATACTGAGGCAACCAAACAATTTAGTGTTTTCAGACATTTGACTGATTAAATCATGGTCCTTTCAAAGCACAGTGCTCTAACACAACTAGACTGCTGCAAGCACATCAGCAATGCTTTCACTGGAGATTAAAGTGTTTCTACACAATACTGCCTGTTCACAGCAGTAGAAAAAAACAAAAAACAGAGGACTTTGAATGGGTTCTGTATAAAAGTGGGTCCCTGTGGTAGACCATTAACATAGTATTGATTCTGTGCTTTGATGCTTAGAACAAACGGCTCCATCAAATAAGAGAGTCAGTCTGTGTGTATTTGTGTAAGGTGAGAGAGAGAGAGAGCGAGAGAGAGAGAGAAAATGGGTGGAGTACAGAGCATGGAGGAAAGAGAGCATTGGGAGAAGATGGGGGAGGCGGGACAGAAAAAGACAGAAACAAAGGAAGGGAGAGAGAACGAAAGTTACCTTCCGAATGGTTACGGAGAAGCCTTTCCCACAGGCCATGCAGTTCTGCACCTCATGGTCCTCTGCCCACTTCCGCGTGAGTGACTGTGACTGCTTTATCTGCACCAACAGACACAGCACACCATGACAACCAACTCAATTCTAGTGAGAAATGCCAGTGATAATACAACAAAGTCAACCTTTACAAAAGTTTGTAGAAAGACCAAGCGTGTGGGACACCACATAATTATGCACAAGAATGATCCAGTCTTTGGCTGGACGCAAAGTTTGCACTTCAATGAATCAGTTTCACAGTGTGAAGCGCTGGAGGAAATGAAGCGCTGAAGCTGACAGAGTGGGGAAAAGGTGCAATGTAGGGCAGCAACAATTACCAAATATGTTGATGACATTAATTACATTAACATTGTTTCGCAAAAATATGGCACTAATTTAATAACGGGCATTGGTATCGGCGAATATCAGCAGAAAATGCTGGTTCAGATTTTGGAGGGGAAAAAGGAATAAATCCAATCCTGTAAGAAATCTATCCTGAAAAAACACACACTCACTGCGTGACGTGATGTTATTAGCCATGTGTTTCTTCATGTAGGGCAGTTGAGAGTTTGAGCATGATGGCCTACTTTTAGATGCTAATCTTAAAGGAATTCCAATGATTGTTCAACATTTCTGCCTAATTCAGTTGTTGAGATATTAACAGTCATTCAAAGTGGACTGATCTGAGACAGTCTGTTCTAGGGAGTCAGAATTGTTTACAGTTGTGGGGATAGGAACCCAATTAAACCCTGAAGGGTTTAATGCCTCTAGAACAGTGATCACCAACCCTGGGCCTGGAGATTTACTTTTCTGCAGACTTTAGTCCTAACCTGCGCAGAACATGCTGCCCCGTCTTCATTAATGCATCTGGAGAAGTTAATCAGCTGGAGCAGGTCTGGCAGACTGTGGATGGATATAGATTCCACAGGAAGGCAGATCTCAAGGACCAGGTTTGTGACCACTACTCTAGAAGCTACCTCACAGAAAGTTATAACACTAAATGGCCACAAATACAGTGCCTGAGACATTGTTTTATGATAGCTCTGAGATGAAGCCTACAACATAATTTTTAAAACTACATGCACAGTGGAGAGGTACATGAATAGCATGGCTTTTTTAAGCACCATTTTACCAATGTCAGCATATGAAAAACTCATTTCATATTAAAACTCAGAAAACTTGTAGGTTCACTGGTAATTCTGGATGGTAAATAAAATGGCTATATCTGCGCTGTAGACATCACAATCTCTGATGGCTATCACTACCACCATAAAAGAAATCAGAACCTGTTTCTCTAAAACCACTCTAAATGACTGTTTATATCTCAACAACCGAAGCATACAGAAATTGGAGGTGTGGGTGAAGTGCTTCAGCTAAAAATAGCTACTTTTTTTAATAGCACATTGATATCAGTATCAGAAAAAAAAGTGACAATGTAATTTCAAAATTTCTAGGTATTGTCAATTCACTGTATGTGTAAATAAGCTCTATTATCACATGATAGATGCAGTCACTCCAACAGACTGCAATACACAATGGGAAGCATTGTGGGCAACATTTTGACTATAGCGTGACAGTGAATTCATTGTTGCAGGAACTTTGAATGATGCACAGCGAGAGAGGAACTGAAGAAGGCATAATAGTCACATCAGCTAATTAACTGAATAACAGTCGAGTAGTGAATCGATTAGAGAAATGATTGCTATTGCAGCCCTAGCATAGCATAGCAATCCATGTATAAAACCCCACCCAACATCTATGAAGTGCAGATGCTGTGATGTGTGTGGACCTGTAAAGACTGGTTCTCTCGGCCCAGCTCCTGCATGGCGGCTGTTGCGTCATCCAGTTTCCTTCTCGTCTCCACCACTTTAGCCTGCAATTTCTCAATCTCGCCCTCGCCTTTTACACACCTAGAGAATACAACGCAACATCATGTAACAGTGTGCAGGTATGTGAGCATTTAAGGCATAAACCCCACCCCCCCAATAATTCCAATAATTCAAAGATTTGAAGGCCAAGCACTTCCACACCTCTCCAGAAGGGCACGCCTCTCATCTTGGTTGTTCTGCACGGTGGCCTCCAGCACAGCAATCTCTCCTCGCAGCTCGTCCGTCTGCTTCTCCAGCTCACCCACACGCCGCTGGCTGCCCTGCCACTCACGCTTGAGTGTGGCCACATTCTCATTCAGTGCAGACACCTGCATTGAGAGCTTCGTCTCAGCCTCCTCTCTCCGCTTCTCCACCTCTTCTTTGGCCTTCACCTCCAACGCCTAGAAGAAAAACCACAAGGTTGCTGGAATAATGGCAGACTGCAGGGGTGGCGGATTGAATACGTCAGCTTCACAGTGTAGTACTATTTATGGAACTATTCCCAGCCAGTATGCAAATGAGCTTTAACATGTATTTTAAATACCTTCAGTATGTTTTCAATATGACTGGCATTACATTTTAAACAAGTAAAAGCTGAATGTATGGAGATGCACGTGATGAGTACCAGCTGTTTATGGAGTTTGTCAGTCTCTGCTTTGTGCTGTTGCTGTGTCTGTGTGATAGAGTCACGGGTAGTTTGGTGCTCTCTCTGCTCCTTCTCCAGGGCTGCCTGGGTTGCCTCCACTTTGCCTTGTATATCCACCTTCTGCTGGAGTAACAGCTGCTTTGCTGCCTGCAGCTCTTTCACTTCCTACTCAAATATACACAAAACACACATATTTCTTAAGGAAAATGCACTGGATGTTCTTAAAAAAATGTATTTGAGTTATTTGAATGTAAGCTTACTATAAAACAACTACAGCTGTCACTAATGATTATATTGGTAATTACGTAAGTTAGTGATTATTTTGACGATTAATCAAGATTTTCTTTTTTACATTTTAGAATCTAATATATTGGATCACAACAAGGGAACATGCCAATTATAAGCTGACTATATTTTTAAGGGGTGAGTGTCACCTCTTTAACATGAAAACAAAACTACAGGACACGGTCGTGACCTAGGACTGAAGAGAAAAGAGTAACTGAAATTGTAATAAGCATCAGAATTATGATGTCAAAAATACATTATAAAAATAAAAATTCCAAGAACTAAAGAGCAAAAGATATGAACGGATGTTTAACATCATTTCCTAATGGTAAATGTTACAGCCTTCCTCACACAAAGGTAAAAAGCAAAATACAAATTCTATTGTATTCTGATTTTCAACCCCGAAAGACACACAGCTTGGGGACTATAGGGAGTGATTGAGTGGAGCTGCAGGACTTGGTTGCACAGAAGCTCTGAAATATGTCTACACATCTATACAAATTGGTGTCAAACACAGATAATTTGTCAAATTTCACTTTGGTTGGAACATGGACTTGGCTGCATTCAGAAAACTAGCTAAATTATCTATGAAAATGTACGGCTAAACAAAGATTAAAAAAAAAAAAAATTACATTTTACAACTTCCATGTCACTGCTGCTGTCTAGTTAAGCTCAATGTTCAGATTGCTGAACATGGCTTTATAATGACTACTTGCAAACTAATCACTAAGCCAATTTATCAAGAACACAGAATTTTAAACCAATTATGTTTTTAATTAAGTAATAAATTTGAATCAAGTAATCATGACAGCCCTACAAACATTACATAGTTTCATCAAAGAAGGTTCTGAGAATTTATTACCCCTACATTAGCATGAAATAGCCATATATCATGTACAATAAGTTGCCTGAGACAGAGAAAGAAGTCCAGGTCCAGATTAGTTGCTCACCTTCTCATTCTTGTCTGCCAGAGCTTTAAGTTCAGCACTGAGCTTGCTGCGGTCCTTCTCTAGTGCAGTCTGAGCCGCCCGCAGCTCCTCCACCTGAGATTGCACCTTCTTCAACTCCTCCTGAGTCAACTCCTGCATAAACATAAATTCACCACAGGTCATAAATAAAGACGCCTCAAAAGCCAGAAATGTGACTACTGAGGTAGCTACAGAGAGGTTTCTGGTAGGTTTTGGTGCTCAAAATGGCCAAGCACTGCCTATTTTGACACGAAAGGGCCATTTTACTGACATGTAAAGTAACCAACCACAGACCACTGCTGTCTGTAAACAACTGAGGATATCATGTTTTTATGCTACTAAGGGTTAATAATTCTCAAATAATTCTTAAACACAGGATGCTGTGAAAACCAGTCTAAATAGAGCTGGCTAGTACCTTTTGTTTTTGAAGTTCTTTGAGTGCTTCCTCCTGCTGCTTGAGGTTCTCATCTCTCTTGCTCAGGTCCTTCTCCAGGGCAGCATGGCCTGCCTTCAGTTCCTGGATTTGGGCCTCACGGTTGTTCAACTGGTTGGTGCTGGCTACCAGCTCCTCCTGAGCCAAAGCCAACTTATCCTCACACACCTACGCAACAAAACACAAGCTATGTGATCATCTGGACTCTAAAAAAATGTTTTCATGTTAATGCCAATGTCACTGAGTTTCTGAGTTGCTCAACCATAGCCTAATGGCTAACCCTTGGTCAATAACATTAAAAGGAAAGAAAGCATTAGATGTAAATATTATTAAACGCTATTGGCCATAATTTCACAACCTCTATTTTAAAAGGTATTCCTGCCTACAATATATATCTGCTTTGCTGTAAAATTTTATACAAACTTCAAACACACCTTCAGGTCCTGACGGAGGGCAGACACCTCAGATTCCTTGCCATAGTAGTCAGATTGTAGTTTGGCCAGACTCTCCTTGGTGCTGTCACAGGACTTCTGTACCTCTGCACTGCGACTTTTCTCTGAGCTCAGCTCTTTAGACAGTCCTGCCATCTGCTCCTTCAGCTTAGTAAACTCTTCCACCTGAAGCACATACACACCTTGGATTTACAAGATGAAAAATGACATGCAGTACATGCTTCCCACTCAAAGATTCATTCTGCATGTCTACGTGACCCCATAATACAAGCGAGCTAGACTCCGCTGCTCCAGGACAAAATCTGTCAAATTTGTAAGGACAGATAACAAACTAGTGGTTCAGAATGCTTTGAATTCAGCTGTGCTTTTCACTGAAGGCATGTGTGCAAGAGTTACTGCTCAGACATTTTTGCTACAGCTGGAAAAGTTCCTGAAAAACTGCAATTCTCCAAAGCCATATCAAGCACATACCTTTTGAGTTTGGGCAGTCTGCAGCTCTGCCACTTGAGTCTGCAGTTTCTTAGCTTCCTTGTTGAAGGATTCCTGGGCTGTCTTGAGCTGTGCCTGCAGCTGTTGTACCTCCTTCTCCCTTTCTTTCAGAGCATCCTGTGTCTGTTTCAACTGGGCATTCACCGCTGCCACCTGGGCCTGAAGCCCCTTCTCTACCTAAACCCAATACCATTCTAATAAATAAACCATTTCAAATTTGGCTGCATTTGCCAAGAAACAGTTAGCCACACACATATTTGTAAGAACATAAATAGATGTCTTCGCAGTTCTCACCTCTGCCATTTTCTCCAGTTGAGATTTAGCCGTGCTCAGCTCTTTAGATGTAGCTTCTGCACTCTTCTGAAGCTCCTGCTGGGCCTTCTTGTGAGCTTTCTCCTGAAAGAGAGAAAGGAAGAAACAGTTTATATGTTAATACTTTTATAAGGCCCATATTTATTGTATTATTTGTTTACATTCAATGCATATTATTACAATGTACCACAGGGGATTAGCAATAATATTTTAACAAATATCCCACCAATACACCATATAAAATCATTCAGGATGTAACGACTAGAGCCTGGCCAATATATTGGTCATCGTATTCTATCAGTTAATATCAACTTGCAATTTTATTAATTTCTTGGTTGATTTTCTTGGGAATATTGACAATATTGCACTATGAATGGCTCTTTTTTTAGTAACAGCATTGTTACAACACAGACCAAATATTTGCACTTATGAACGCACCAGTCAGTTGAATTCTGTATTAAGATTAAATAATTAAAAATCATTGTGCTGTTTATGGGATAATCTTTGTGAATTTGTTTGGCAACTGTAGTCTTCTCTTAACAAACTACACTGTCAGCTGATCAACTGCTTACTGTGATTACTACTAATAATACATTATTTATTGAATGTTGGTGTATTTTTAATACTGCTGTGTCACCATTTTATTAAAGCAATAAGCCACTCTGCTGCACCAAACAACACCCCTTAATCGTGGTAACAAATGGCCATGGGTGAATTAATGCTTCAACTTTAAAACACAAAAGAGCTACAGAAAAAGTCGATTTTCCTCTGGGCAAATGAAGTTTCTTAGTACCCACCTTCCCCTCCAGGGCTGCAATGCTGCTCTTCTTCTCCTTTTCCAGCTGGGTCTGGTTCTCTTTTAGGGCTGCAGAGGCCTTACTCAGAGCGTCTTTTACTGAAATGAGCTCTTTAGCCTGCATGTCTCTCTCCTGATGGGCCTTTTGGAGCTCCACACTCTGCCCCTGGAGCTTCTTCTCTAACTCAGCCTGTCTCACTTGCCCCTCCTTGGTGAGTTGGTCTAGGCTGGTCTGCAGGCCAATCTTCTCTTTTTCCAGCTTCTCCAGGTGCTTTTGTGTGTCTGCCAAAGCTGAGCTCTTCTTCTGCACTTCCTCCTGCAGTGCTGCAGCCCTGAGGGAAGGAGAGACGCCATGAGACAGCTCAAATAAACAAAGATTCAAACGCAAAAATCTAGAGTAATCCACTGTCTAAAAGTTTCTAGAAATTTAAATTATTTTCCATAACTAAAGTAGTTTCTCGCCCATCATACAGTAGAATCAATATTTGAAGGCAGGTCTGTGTAACAGGTCTGCACGATATGGACAAAAAAACCTTAGAGATTACATTACTACACGTTGTGTTTGCAACATGCCCTGCAATTTATTAAAAATAAATTACATGCAAAAGTCAATATTTCAATTACAATATAGGGGTAGCACATAAAAGGCCAGGCCTACCCCTGTTTTTCAGTATCCAGCAGGCGGCTGAGCTCTTTGTTTTTCTTCTCCAGCTCACTGGTGTGCTGCTGCTGTCTCTGCTGCTCCTTCTGTGCCTGCTCCCTCCCTGAGCGCAGCTCTGTCAGCTCAGCCTCTGCTTTCTGCCATACATACACACTCATTTAGACTACACAAACAGAGGACACTGCTCTTATGAACATTTGTGCTTAAAATGTAAACACAAAGCAATGCCATGACGCAGACAGTAGAGGACAGACAGTAATATGTGAATTCTCAGTCCTAACGGACCAAGGTGACAGTTTGCAGCTTGGTGGATGTGATGTGACTCAGCAGAAAAGTGAGGCATGGCTGACCTTGGCTTGGCTCTCCAGGGTGTCGATCCTCTGCTCTGCAGCCAGCAACCTGTCCTTGCTCTCCTTTAGACTGGCCTCTAGCTGAGAGCACTGCTCCTGCTTCTCCTGCAGTCTACGGCCCTGCTCCTCCAGCTGTGCCTGGACCTTACTTATTTCCTACACACGAACAGAGAGAAATTAATCCCTTACACAGTAACCATAAAATGCAGGTCATAATTTATACACACGTTTTTTACTATTTTTTAAGAGTATTTTTTATTGTAGCAGTTGTACATAATTTTTTGATTTGAATAAAGTTACAATTGTGCTGGCTGTTTTATCGTGGCACGGCCGTCTTTGTGGAAAGGTATTAATTGTTTCCACAGTTTCAAACTCTCCGCTTTCATCCCTCATTGCTCACTAGCAGCTCAAAACAGACTAACATTTTACAAACACAGAGAGCCAATGGCATCCTAATCTGATAACATCACATCTGTTTTACAGGGAACTTTAATTAATTAAAAAAATGAAAAGTTTAAAAGTTGGTTTATTAATAAAGAGAAATGTGAAATTATGCCACGTTTCCATTCCATTTAATTAGAGACATGGTGACAGATGAAACGCTTTGATAATCAACTATTCAATTATCTATCAACTATTCAGTACAATTCAGTAGATGCATAGTGTTGGATTGTCTATGAGCCCTTGAGTTAGAGAAAACCCAGTCATTGAAATATTTCCCTTTATCAGATTTGTTCCCTGAAATGTGGAAGTGTAAGTGAATATAAATAAGTTTAAGTTAATTGTTTATGTACCTGCTGCTTATCCTGCAGTGCATTCTGGGCAGTTTCTAGATGGTTCTCAAGGTCAGCTCTCTGGGCAATCTTTGCAGCTTCAGCAGACAGTAGCATTTCTGTCTTGGCTTTCAGCTGAGACAAAAATATGCATCAGGTAACATACATTGCTCAACAAGAAAATTACAGTATTGTGCATTTTTGCTTGCATCAGAACCAGCCACCTCATCTGACCAGCCTTTCAGCTTTGAATTTTCAAGCTCTTTATAAAATGTTCTATAAGTCATATAAAGTACCTGGGTGTCGAGCTGAGCCACTCTCTCCTTGCTCTGGGTGAGCTGAGCAGTTAAATCAGTCACAGTGCTCTCTAAGCCCTGGCAGCGGTCCTGTGCTGAGCGCAGCTGGCTCTTCTGCTCCTGCAACTGCTCATGGAGATTCTCTTGGGCCTGTTTATGGCTCTCTGACTGGTTTTTCAGCTTGTCTGTCAACTGAGTTATCTGCGGGTGGGCAGAAAGTGGTAAGCGAGTTACAAGACATTTTACTCTGTGTGGAGAGACAGTTCTAACACCGCAAGGCAGACATTTCCTATCAAAAAGAATGTACTTGAGGTCTATACCTGTATCCCACATTTAACAAACTAAATTTCTTAGGTTTCCTGCACCTGTTCCTGTAGCATGTGGTTCTTCTCCTGCAGCTGGTTGAGTAAGGCAGCCTCTCCCTCTCCTGCTTGAATCTTGGCACACAGATCCTCTCTTTCAGCCTCCAGTTGGCTCAGGCTGGCCTTGCTCTTCTGCAGAAGTGCCTCCAGGTTCTGGATCTTCTGGTCTTTGTCTCCAATTTGACGCAGCACCTGCTCCAAGTCATTCTACCACACAGAAGACACTTGAGCTGAGAAAATGTTTGGAGAAAGGCTGCACACTACTTAAGATTAACAAGACATCTTGTTAGTAATGGCCCAGGCGTAATGTCTAGTACAGTCCTAGGTGTAAGACCCAGATCTTAATATTAGGATAAACACCATTTCATTGTAATTTTCAGATACAGCATAATATACAACAGTGGCTCTTACAGCTAAGCAATTAATTTTTTTTATATAATAACTGCAATATTAAAAGAGTGCAATTTTCAAAATGCAAGGGCTGCCATTTTAATAATATCCCATGTAATTCAACATGCCACACTTTCATTCTTAACTTTCTGGTGATACTGAAAGGATTATTAACAACATTATGGTAAGAGTTAGGTTTAGGAGTAGATGTAGGTTTTGTGTTGAAGTTAAGGTTAAGTTTAGGGTTAGATTTAGTAAAGTGCTAGATCAACCCAATCACTTAACTGCTGCCTTTGCACACACCATTGCACACACACATTTGATGCTATCTGCTCCAGAGTATGGGGTGGGAATCTTTAGGCACCTCACGATTCGATTCGATTACGATTCAGAGGGCTGCGATGCGATTATAAAACGATTATCGATGCATCTCGATGCATCTTTTTTCTCTATACAGGATTTCTATTTTCCTACTGTCTAAAAACTTGGTAGTTTTAAAGCAAATTATTTGTAATGATCCATAATGTAAATGTATTATGGATCATTACAAATACTTTGCTTTAAATATCTAAAATATCTTTTATTAATAAATCAAATGGAAGTGATGTGACAAGTGAACTAGAAGGCTCTCATTCAGAGACGCTACTGCCACTCATTTGCGATAAAATACGCTGTTACCCTGAAATAAGATCCAGTGGTAATGGGTGTCCACGCAGCACGTTACAGCCATCCTTCCCGACTGGACTCTGAATCTCAGCTCCAAAGTGTGCGACATAGCGTGAAAGCCCTGGTTCTCAACGACTGAGAACAGACAGCAGACAGCAGGTCACATAGCCCCGAAGTCTGGCCTCGCCAGTAGTGAACGAAGAAGCAGCGATTAAGACGAACATTTGGAGGACTATTCGCATTTATAAGCAGCGCGGTTGGTTAAATCTACAATGAGAGACTTTCTCCAAAAAGTTGCGAAAATGAACTCGCTTCTCTTTTGAATTTTCCCATTCCACCTTAAATGGTGCAGCAGTTACATTCGGCGCCTAAGGCAGAATTTAAGGTAGAACAGGAAAATTAGAACGAGAAGCTGGCGAATGAGAAGCGACCTCAGCCTCGTAAAACAGCTGGATGCTGAGACATTTTACAAGAAACTCTTCTAGTTTTGAAGAAAAGTTTTCTGCCGGAGATTGAAGGAAAGCGGCTGTAGCTAAAGCTTAAAGCAGAGCAAAGTAAATATGCGCTCTCGTTTATATTTTTAGCCCATACTAGGACATTATCCCATACTGAGACATACTGGGCATTAAATGTTGTGGCTCCCGAGGTGGTTTGACTTTGTTGAAAGGCAAAATGGCTCTTCTTATCATTTGGGTTGTGACTCCTGATCTAACCTGGCTTTAATGCAGAGGGAGCCGGTCGGATTTCTCACTCATCCAGCTGTGTTTTTGTTATGTGCCGCCACAGACTGTCCGGGCGCTGCACTTACCCACTTCCAGTTCCACCTTTTGCGTTCCGTCAACATTACGTTATAAATTAAATATTTAGAAAATCGATTTTTGACATTTATGAATCGATTCAGAATCGTTCACGTCCGCATCGTGATGCATCTAAGAATCGAGTTTTTCCCGCACCCCTACTCCAGAGTATAGTTCTTATGAAGGTTTGGAAAAAGTTTAGTCACCTGTGCTTCTCGCAGCTTGCCATTGGTGCTCTGCTGGACAGCTTGCAGCTCTTGGTGCTGCTGTTTGGATTTGTCTAGCTGATGCTGCAGGTCTGTGGATTTGGTGGTGTCCTCCTTCAGCTGCAGAACAACACATAGGAGTAAATACAGCTTACCAACACTCAAACCTAAGCCACAACAGCATTGTTATGTTTGCCAGCATGTGTTTATGTTCCACTCAGAAGAATCACAGAGATAGTCAATGAAAGGAATGTGGTGTCTACTCAGGATAGTTCTCCTGCCTCTAACACAAATTGCGGTTTATAAATATTCCGTTAACTCATTCGCATTCAATAAAAAATACTGTTTAAATTTGGTCAAATTCACTCAGCTATATTTGAGTTGATTAAAAATGTCGTAATTAGGAGTTTAGATGTATGGTCATAACACTATTCTTGAGCTGGTGAATGCAGAGTGTAAAAATGCAAAAGTACCTGATACTAATTTGCCTTTTTTAAGAAAAACAAATACAACAAAAGGTTAAGAAACATGATTTCAATAGTTTTAGAATCCCTGAGACAACATACAGCACGCTGGATTTACATGATGCACTCAAGCAATTGACGCACCATTTCTGTCAGTCCCACACTCACCTGCTCTTCCAAGCGGGAGAGTTTGAGCTGCAGATCAGCGACTTGTTGCTCGCGGTCTTTGAGTTTCTCTCCGGACAGCTGCCTCTGCTCCTTCAGCCGGCCCTGCACCTCTCCCAGCTGCCGCTCAGCCTCCAGCAGCTTTGCATGCAGCTACAAAGCACAGGACAGAGCAGTAAGCTGCGACATAATCTACACAGTCAGTCACAAAAATGAAGTTGTAAATCTGCATGTGTGGCTCACCTGACTAATCTCACTCTGCTGCTGCAAACCCTGGCTCTCTCTCTCTTCTCTCTGCTGCTGCAGCTGCTTGCGTTCGGCCTTTAGCTCTTGGTAGCTCTTCTCTAGCTCAGCAAGCTCCCGCCTGAGACGAGCTGCCTCCTCTCCGCGCTCAGCTAACTCAGCCTGAGTCCGCCCGAGTGAATTCTCCCCTGCGGATGCTCGCGCTTGGACCTCCTGCAGCTCCAGCTCCCTCTGGTGCAAGCTGGCTTGGAGATTCTTCTTGGAGGTCTGCTCCTGACCCTAGGTGTTCCTCCAGCTCCTGGTTCTCCTTCTCTTTGCGGGTCAGCTTCTCTGACAGCAGCTGAAAAAGGCAGGGGATTGGCAGAATTGAAGGCAGTCTACCGAGCAATAGCATAGCATCTATAATGCTTTGTTGAACAAATGCACTACAATAGAAGTTATATAAATTAGTCATTATCCTCACTGTTACATTAAGCAACAGTTAGTTCCGATGACACAATCTGATTGATTTGAGAAGTGTTTTTTTCACAACTAACAGTGCATTTAATACATTTCTACTTTACCAATACAAACACAGAAAATGACATGAGACTCTCTCCACATTTTCTCAATAAACAAATGTCCAAAAATGATTAAACCTAAATTTTCTTACTCCTAAGAAGACAGAAAAGAAACTAGCAAATACATTCAAAAAATTTCCTGAACATAATGATTCAGAAACGCAGATCACCAACACTTGTCATTAAGCAGTCTAAAATGTGCACAATGTGGGCGTCTGAGTTTTAATTTTCATGCATTTAGCTAAAAGAATGCAAAATCATACTAAATCTAAAGAAAGTGGCTACCCCTAAGTGGTATTTGTAATAGGCCTAAAGGAAGTCACTCTCTTTACAAGTGTTTTGATGTGATTTTGCCTTCTTTTTGCTAAATATATGAGAAATCTGTTACACACTTTACAGGTCCCTTAATGACTAAAGCATTGGTCATATGCGTTTCTGAAACATTACATTCAGAGAAATTTAATGAAGGACATTTTTAAAATACATTTGGTTGCAGGCCATTCTCTATCTTTTATGAGTAAGAAAATGTAGGTTTGATCATTATTCGGGCACTTATTTAATGAGAAATCGCGGACAGAAAGTCAATACACAGTGAATATCCATATAAAACCAAGTCTACCTCAATGTAACTCAAAAAGATGCTATGTTTTTTGGCAGAAGGAATTGTCAAAATTAAAGCACATTGAATAAATTATTCCAAGCTTCTTTGCTTCACCTTTATTTTGTAGAACTGCTGTGTAAAAGAATAGAACACTCATGTTCATGTGTTATCAGGAATAACATCAGGGCTGTGATGATCTACTGTATTCACCTTCCTGTGCCTGTGTCCGAATCACAGTGATGTTATTCATGGTAACACACTCCCTCTCGTCTTTTACTGCTTAAATAAAACATCTAACACACAAAACTAACAAAGTCACCTTATTATTTTTTTTACACAATTTGAAAATGCTAGCTATCCTTTACATTTCATGACTAAGGGATCAATATAGTCCAACTTTAAAATACACTGACATTAAAAACACTTTCTTCTCTTCTCAAAAGTTACTATTTCCAAAATATATGTTTCAGTAACAGCATATATTATGTTGTGCATATTTTATATTTTGAAAGCTATTGTTAATAAGCACTGTCCATGAAAGGCAGTTGAGCCCTAAATAATAATCCAATTAAAGATGAATAAACTATCTACACATAATTTTAAATGCTGATAAAGAGGAGGCCTGGGCCATGTTTAGAAGCATGAATGAACCGATATGGGAATTGTGGGCTGATGTTAGAAATTATTCATGTACATACCTGCTGATGCCGATCGGCAAACATTTATAAAATGTAGAAACTGGGACTAAATTCACCTGGATTAGCATTACGGAGAGATATAACATCTATTTCTGTAGGATTATAAATACATTAAAATGTGTGAAAAGTGCCACCTAAACATTCAGCTCTTCAGGAGCACAAACACTGATCTGAACTATTGGTCTGGCCTAAACATCTGCCCGATGCCGATATTTCTTTAAGCAAATAACTGCCGAGAGAGATATGATTCTGATATCACCGCACATTCATATTTAGAAGCATGGTTAAAATCAAACACCAGGTCTTATCTTTTAAAAAAATAAATAAATAAATAAAGTGAACCACAGATCTCCATAGCCTCTTCAGTAAATAATCATGCTTAAATCTACAAATCTGCTCAGGTGAAACACAGAAATAAAATCAAGCCAAAAGATCACAATCTCCTCTCCGGATGCCGCCTCGGAGACTCCTGGGCTTCCACTTTCGAGAAGGAATGGAGTGACATTTAAGACTGAGCAGTTTTATGATGCCTGAACTGGGCACAAGGAAGGCCAGCTGGAGGGCGTGCGCTCTGAGACTGCTATAAAGCCAGAGCTGATAACGACATGGCTGTGCTAACAGGGCGTGGTGACAGGTCCGTCCTCCATCACTGACCGAGTTTTTCCACATGCTGCTTATGCAGGAGACAGCTGGGATCGTGTTTACGATGAGCTCTCCTTTTCCTTTCATCTTTTCTTTGTCCTCTTAGGTAGTCATATCTTTTGTTCATCTGCTGCAATTTCTCATCATACAGGACTACTCCTTTCACGCATGTTCTCCATTACCCTTATTGTACATGTTCCACCCTCAGAGGCTGTTGTCTATTATCCAATAATAATGGTACAGGTGACTCATCAGGCACATTTAGATTGTGGTATGGGTTTCAGAGAAGAGCTTTAGGGGTTCTTCCGAAGTTATTTAAAACATGCTTTCAAAATGTACACTTTGGAATGAGGAACAATGCCCACTCTGGACATAAACCACAATGGCTTCATGGATATGAAATCTGACACTGTTAATGAACACTTTTCCAGAAGGACCATTCCATTAGAATTTGCTCTAATTTGTCTCATCATATGTCTCAGGCTTTGATGCATTTCTCTATCTATGCACTATGGCTCAAAAGTGTGGAATCACTTGTAACATTTTTTTGTCATTTTATATACAGTAACAACATAATGCAGAATTTAAATATTTCAACCCAGGCACAAAAATATCTATATTTTGAGTATTCTGTGCACAAGATGTTACATAATAATAATAAATAATAATCTGATCATAATAATGTTTCTCAAGCTATCTGCCTTGAGATTTGATCACAATTTTTGGAATAAATGTCATTCTGAGTACTATTCAATGATCACTTCATTCTTGATGTTATCCAGCTTTCCCAGTCATTTAATAAAAATCCCCATTTAAAGCCATTTCCATTCATCATGCTGAGCATATCTAAAAAATTTTTTTGTTTGTTTAAGATTTCTAGCTTCAGGTGAATATTTGAAACCTGAAACTGCACAAGATTAGCCTATTAGAATAAGTTTAACATTTATATGCAACCAAACTGGCTTTATAGTAAGGATAGTAGCAGGAATGGCTACAGCAGGCAGAAAAAAACTGCTGTTTGGTGCAGGTACAAATTTGACTCACTGCTTCCTGCCACTGCAGCTTGTTTTTCTACTGAATCAGAAACAGAAGTTTGCCATAGTCGCTAAATTGTGAGCTTTAAGTGAGTTTTTATAGTTGAATACTAATTTTAATTTCACAAGAAAAGGACACATGCTTCAACAATTTCAGCACAATGTACAAGAAACAGGTTAATCTACTTGATTTTTCCACTTTGCAAGTTCTTGCTTAGAGACTTTGGTTTTCAGCGCTTTGGCACTAGTGCATACATACTTACAGTCACCAAAGCCTTCCATCTACCCATGAAGGCTTAAGGTACTGATTAATAAAAAAAATTCTGAATTGTACGGTATGTGTTTCCCCTTCGATCCAAGCCTGAGTGTTTTGTTGATGATGTTCCCACTTCAGATCCCAGCACATCCAGCCTCCTCTTAATCACCTACTTCAGAGAAGCAGTCTGCAATTTCCTAGAGGCCCTCTGTCTCTAAAAATCCAGCATTCTAATCCTCCCTGACAACATGCAGAAAGACGGCAGCCCTTCAGGACCTTTACCTGAACCCGTATATCACCCTAAAGGACAATTCTGGCATGGCACACATCCCCCCTGCTGGGTTAATTATAGACACTCTGAAGCAAATGCGTCAGAACACACTGATGGCTGATAGAAAATGCAACGTGCTGACAAGGTTATGTGGTCACTGGCCATGCCAGACCAGCAGCAAAAAGGGGCTTCCAGTAAAACAGGGTCAGTGTTTCCTGAAAGGGAGCAGACAGTACATGCAAACAACAGTACAGTACATTTAAATTTGGACACTGCTTCAAAGGACAGGGAGGTTATGAGCTGCAAGCTCTCATCACAGCTGGTTATAATGCATATGGAGTTTGCGGGGTCATAAAGCAGGTCATTAAAATATAGCACTGGATAGTTACTGTACTGTACTGCCACCTGTCCTAGGCCCCCCATGATGAATATCACTCAAAACACCTCCTCACATTTTGCTGAATTGTTTCTTATTCATTGCTCATTGAAACAAGTGGGGAAATTCTGTCAAAAGTGTTTATTCTAAAGCTACGTGCTGGAGCTACAAGGCTAACTTTGCTAACAAATACAAATACATAGTCAATAATTACCCAATTTTTCTGTAAATACATCCTCAAAACTTCACAACATCACTAACCATCTTGTAACCCACTCAAACCATATCAAGATCTTCAGCCAAGTCACACAGCTTTGTCAATGTGGTTTAAGACACAGAATGACTTAGTGTGAGCTATAAAGATAGCCTGACCGTGTAGCTGAACGCAGCCTAGATGAAGACCTGGATACAGTTTTGAGTGAGTTGAGAGAAGTTTTGGGGATGTGTTTATGGAAAAGATTTGAGTGACTATTGACTTCTAGGGTGTGTTAGTAACATCAACCTCATAGCACCAGCGCTAAACTAAAAAAGCCAAATTTAGACACCAAACATGGCTTGCCTGATTGACTACATTTGGAAAATTACATATATTTGATTTTTCACCAAACCATTTCTTTAAAGGATAAACTTGATGCAATGGATCTGCATGTGTACTGTTTGACCTCGTTTATACCTGGTCACTTAATGCATCTTGAGTATCAGAATTACATACGGATAAGGCCAAGCCACAAAAAAATGCAAGTACAAACGCACCCAAGACGCATTTAAAAAAGATACAAATCCGATCACTCTGACCGCTTCAGGAGGTGATCAGAGACGCATTTGAGCCACATGTTATAGCAGCGTAAACACATCTGTCTCTCCAAGGGACATTCAACAACCAAAACCCCTCCCAGAAAAAACGTAACTCCTCCTCATGCAGTACGTCACCAGGCATGTGATTCGTGTCTGCGAGGAAAATAATCAAGGAGGACGCTCATGGTTGGGGACTGGATGAAACAAAAGGCTTAACAGCAATATGGACAGACACTACTGTGCAAAACAAACTGCAGAATGAAGAGGCTGACCAGATGAACAATTGATAATTGGTTGCCATGTAACAGTTTGTATACTCCATCCCCTGTAGCAATCAGATTTCCAGAGACACATTTGCCTACCAAGTATAAATGCATGTGGCTAAAATCTTATCAAGAAACAATCCAGACACTGATCACATGAAGTGACCAGGTGTAAACAGGATCTGTGTGTGTTGTACAGTACCTGGCTCTGTTGCTGGAGGTTGTTCAGGTTGCTCTGTAGTTGGTGGATTTGTTGTGTGTACACAGCAGCTTCTTGGGGACCTTTCTCCAGCTCGGCCTTCAACTGGGTGATTGTTGTCTGCAGAGAAAGACCCAAAATGTCAGAACGCTCACAGTTCAGGACAACTACCCATGGCCAGCAAGCATGCAGACTCCCATACAAAGCTGCCTGACATGCAGGAAAAAAAATGACAGCGAAGAAGGTTTTGATTTTTGAGCTTCATGAGGTCAAGACTGCTTGTATTCTTAATATAAAAATGCAGTAGTATGGGTAACATCAACTGAGGTGAAAGTAAACAGCATTACCTCCAGTTTACGAATCTCCAATAGAGAGCAAAACAGGCAGGGTGTAAGTGAGAGGAGAGACATAGAGAGGGAGGAAAAGGGACACACAAACACAGCACGCAGGTAAGTGATTAACTCAACACACAGCCCAACAGTGTTTCCTTCAGAGAATGGGCAAGCAGTTAAAAGCTTTCTCAGATACTTGAGCATACCCATGTGGAACCCATGTAGCGACTTAAAACGATACAGCACAAAATCTATTAGAATAATGTTACATTACATGTGTAAAGGGGAATCTGACCATTTTTCAAAATTCCCACTCAATGGAAAAAAAATAAGTAAACAAAATCATTGAGAGTGATTTGCTGTGAGATGCTCAATTTTAGAGAAATTTGCTGAGTAAGAATTGTTCACAATTTGGTGATAGAGTGTAAAGCCTATAAAAGCAACCACACAGAAAGATATTATATTAAATTGCTTATGAATATGCTGCCTGATGGCTGAGACATCGTTTAACGATAGTTTAAGGTCTTGGGCTAAAATGTATTTTTTAAATCCACTAATGGCAGAGAGGTACATGCAGGCAAAGCAAAGCATTCCCCAAAACTGTAAGGCAAAACATTCCCCAAAAATACATTTTTTTCAGATTTGCCACTATTATACCATCAATATTACACATGAAACTAAGAAGCTATTTGTAGGTTCACTGGTCATTTTGGATGGTAAATAAAATGGCTACATTTTGCACTGAGACATAAACAGTGCAACATATAGCCATTTTATTTAGGAATTCCTCTTTAAATGCTGCCTATGCTCAACATCACTCAAACAATTACACACACAGCCAGTAGAGGGCAGACAATGCATTGAAGAGGCTTAAAGGGTCACCTGCAACCAAGGTTAAAATGAGGAATGAAAAGCATGTCTGTGTGCAGAGGAGGGATCCATAACTTGGCTTTGGAAGCTTTTACATAATCAGAACTGAGGTCAGGTGGTGCAAAGGTTTTTGCAGGAGGTGATTACAAGCTTGTTTACAGGAATCACTACGGTAGAAGAGCTGCAAGTAGTCAGTTAATGGTTAACCTCAGGAATCAGGCTCAGAGGACACTGAACATAGCTGGTACTGACCTACAAATCCTCACTAACAAAAAACAAAGTTACTCAGAAAACTTCAACCTGGGTGTGAATAAATACTAGAGATTTGATGTAAAAAGAATGAAAAGAAATTGTGCAACATATTTAAAAAGTGAACAGTGAACAATCTTAACACCAATGATCACTAGCAATATTGTTCACTCGTTTGTTTAATGACTTACTCTGTTTTTTCTTTTTTTTTATTTATTTAGTTTTACTGGAGAAGCCAATAAGTACTATGTTCGGCCTTCAGCCCTGATTGATTGATAGTCATACTTCTTAGGATGGCGCGAGGTTTTGAAAATAATTCAAATTTGGGGGAATAGCAGGAAAAGCTGCAAGTAGTGATCTTTGAAGCACACTGCCTACAGTCAAGCTATACATGATGTACTCCTCCCACAAGTGTTTGGTTTTGGTTATCTTAGTGTATGGGGCTTACCTCTGAGGTAGTGAAGTTAGCCTGCAGCTGTTCGTACTGGTTTTTGAGCCGCTCTGACTCCTCCTCTCTCTCACGTGTCATTTTGTCCATCAGCGTCTGCACCTGCACCAGCTCCCTCTTCAATACCTCCACATCCTCCACTCCAGGCCTCTGAAGCTACAGTGGAGCACAACAATTAGTCCATCAGCCCAATAACCGTGCCTGAATAGCCTCCATACAAACAACCACCGCTTTTTGTATTATTATTTGTATTATTATTATTTTGTAGCCTCTTCATATCCTGTGTATGTCTATCACTTTATCTGTGAATGTCAGAGAGTATTCTTTAGTCTTCATTTCCACAGTTTTCCTTCAGATTCTGACCATCGGTACTTGAATTCCAGGGGTCTTTTATCCAGAAAAGATTAACTTGTGTAATGATTCTCAAACAGAGATTATGTGTAAGCCTCATTAGGGCAGTATCTTTCATCAGTGTAATCTTGGAGCTTCCACAGCACAAGGGTTGAATACTTAAGCAAATAGCATTTTCAGTTAGTCATTTGTGTCACAGAACAGTTTCTCACATAAAAACCAATATTACTTTAAATTAATTAATTTTTAAATAAAATATGACACAGCACAAAACATGAAAATGTAATTTGTAATCCAGACAAACCTGATGACTTAAGAGGGCTGAATTCTTATTCACAGCACTGCATTTACAACTTATCCTTCAATCTGGCTTGCAAGTAATCATCTGCGGTTTAATATTTACATTTGACGGTTTGACAGGCTTCACCCCCCAGACAGTGTAGTCGTGTCTCAAAGTCAAGGATGCAGGAAGTCTGCATTTCTACGCCTTTACCTCACTGAATGTGGTCCCTTTTTGTAAGAACATTCAAATGTAGCTGAGAAATGCATCCAAGTCCAAAGTATTTGATTTGTGTATCCTTGGATACCTTCGGTCACCCACAACATTTCATGCACTGCGCAAAATCAGTGAAAAAAATGTTTAAAACAGCTGCAGGAACAGCTATATGCTGCAACACCAGAAGAATAAAATGTAAAATTTAACTTAATATTTTAAATTTTAAATTTAAATGTCACATTATGTCAGTAAGCTGTGATATGTCACTAAAGCCTGCTTAGACCGCTGCTCAGAGATTAACAGAATTATCAAAGGAATCCACTGAGAAAGTTTATAAAACATTGTTATTATTAAAACTTGCTGTTATTAATCAGGGGTATTAATGGCTCGTTTGTGGTGGCAGAAAATTTGCTGAGAAACAATGAGTAAACATGTATATATGTATCTATACACAAATCTAGATATTTTTCACTGCATTTTCTCTATCAGCCCCCAATGGAGAAGACCACTTGGTCTGTTTGTGGTAATAATTTGCACTGGTTGGTGCATCAACCATTTTAAAAACTATATATAAAGTTCTCTACAATGGCTTTTCCACTTCCGCTACTTATGTCACTCTGCAACCAATGACTGCAAATAGTGTGCACACTTAATTCTTCAGTGGGTTAATTGTAAATGTCATCTGGGTACAAAGAGCACACTAAATTTTGTTTCAATTCCCAGTGTGACACACTATTACACACACCTACTACATACTAGTACACAACAGAGAAACTCAAGTTGAGACAAGTTTATGTATAAATCAGATGAAATTTAAAAAATAAAATGTCATGAGGGTTTGTGTGAAGGAATGACACAGATGTATTACCAGCTCTGTGGCAAGTTTGTCTTTCTCCTGCCTCTCTCTCTGAAGGTCCTGCTGCAGACTGGCAACTCTCTGCTCTGCCACCTCTCTCAGACTCTTCTCTTCATCATAGCGAGACTTGATGTCTGGGATTAAACACACATGATCATGAGACAATCATAAAGGGGGAGAACGAGACACATGGAAGATTAAATGACCCAAATCCACTTCAAGCAATCTCGCTCCACTTTAGGCTTTAAAAGAAGATGGACTCTGAGGTTTCCCTTACCTACTATCTCAGTGGCCAGCTGGGCAGCCTTCTGTTCAAACAAGTCTTTCATCTGTTTGATGTTGAACTTCTCTGTTTCAGCCTCATGCAGCTTCATCTCTAACTCTGAGAACACACGCGAGATGTTTGAACCATGAATTTCCATTTCAAAGCTTTATCACTAAGAACGTTCAAAAACCTCTGCATGCTGATAGACCTGCACCAAGCAGTAAAGAAAGAGAACTAGAGAGAACTCACCTGACTCTTCCATGCCTGCCTGGCCATCATTCTGCGGACCCTAGTATGGAACATAACAAACATCATAAATCACTGTATCAGCTTAAGGTGTTACAGCATTCAGATGGTAGCATTAGACTCTTTAAGGTTCTTTCAGCTTGGAGCACAGCAGCGTCATCTCAGTGAGCATGACAAACATCATCTGATTAGTATTTGAAAGAAATTACTTGCTTCAGTTGTCCTTGTACTTTGTCTAGTTCTTTTTTCAGTTCCCCTGAAAACCATCGTTCTTCCTGTAACATTCACAAAAAGAGAGTTGGTAAGTCCCAGACAAAGGCATGTGATTAATAAAACCACAGAGAAACAAATAAGCAATAGAAATGCTAATATTTTATGTTTGCTGAGATTGAATTGAACTAGGTACCTTCAATGAAGCCTGTAAATCCTGTACTTCCTGCCGCAGAAGAGCTAGGTCCTCCCTAAAAATGAACAAATTTCATAATTGAAATGATAAATGTCTACTTTTGACATTTTGAACTAAAGAACAACTTTGATGGCCAGTGTTTTGATAGTGTTCAGTCATCACAACGCTAATTACTCAGTAATTAATATTAGTCCTAAACCAGAAAGTGTAACAACAATTCATAATTCAGTTTGATTTGACACAGTGGTGTCTTGATTCAATACACTTTTCAATAAAGCAAAAATAAGACATGTCTGAAAGTGCCCAGTATGTTATTATGTTAATGCTTCCATTTTAAGTAGAGCATTCAACAGTATTAAAGTGTGACATTTGAGACTTTAGAATGCAACAGTCAAGTTTTGATCCACTCAGATTGGTTTCTCATCCACATATAAACAAAAGCTGTATTTAATTATGTAACAAAATCAAAACGAAACAAAACCGAAAGTGGTGTGGTGTTAGTAATAAAAACAGGAAATATCATCTCAACTACAATGGCACCAAACTGTCTGACTACTTTGTTCTAGTTCCATTGACTGACAGAAAAGGGTGACATGCAAATACAGTAATGTGACTTATAGCCAGTCACTACTGGGTCTCACACATTGTAAAATTTAAGCTAACATTACTAAGTATTTTGAAGCTGAACAGATCCGCTGGCGCCGACATATGACATAAACTGAAAGTCTCAGTCAAAAAAGGTTTCAGGCATGAGAAACAGCACCACTGTACAATCAGGCTGGTGTTTCAAAGCCCTTCTGTAAATTTACATATGCAACCAAACTGCCCTCCAGGGGTTGTTTTAAGTTGTACACGGGTTTTGCATTGCAGCATATTAAGCATTTACAGCCAATTAAAAAAGGGCACTAGTAATTTTGACAGAAAAGGGAAAGTACATGAACAGTACAAGTACTCTTGTTTCAAAAATTGCAAAAAATAGAAAATCCTTCTGACATTATACGGCTTCCTTAAGTGCTTGGTTAGCTTAAAAGACTCATGCCACTGAAAGCCAAATTCTTCTCAACTTTAGAAAATAAAAGCACTTGAAGTCTGTAACCATTGCTAAAGTTTCAAAACATACTATTCACTTCCCACTCAATACAGTCCATATAGGCAAAACAAACTGCAAAAAGAGCCTATTAATGAAATCACTGTTTTTCTCCCTACAGCAGTTTGGCTCCAGCCATTCAGGCTGAAGTTATAAGAAATGTTTCAACCTGGACTGCTGTTTGAAAGAGGCAATACATGGCAGTCAATCATAAACATCAAGAAAAATAGCCTTTTTAATTGTAAGGGATACAGAGAGGTTGGAAAATGGTCAAGTAAAAATGAATTATGGCCTTACATACATTTAGTGCTTAAAATAACATGCAAGAATTACTGTGTAACAGTGAGCTTCACATACATAGCACTTCAAATCTCTGGCACAAGACTGAAATGTAGTGAGACAGCTCTGGCAAACTAAAAATATGCTCCAGTGCTTTCAAGGCATGACCTGTAGTCATTGTCTCATGTGCACTGACTCGCATTTGTTTACTGTGAGTGTGTGTGTGTGTGTGTGTGTGTGTGTGTGTGTACAGGCATTGGCACAAGGGTTTATGTGGAGTTGGGATGTGTGGAGAAACGAGAAAGTAAATATTTTGTTTCCCATCCTCCTTAAAGAGACTAAACATCAGCAACTAAACATCAGTAACAAGATGAGACTTATCATAATTTATGTGTAGAAGGGAGTGGAGGAATAAGGCCGGGTTTAGGTTTTACCTGGCAGGGCCGAGGTGAGAGGGCTGCTCCTGGGGCTCATGGTAAACTTCATAATGCTTGAAAAGCTCCTCAGCAGAGTTATGAGACTTCATACACTGTGGACAAATGAAGCCCTGCAAATAAAACAAACAAAAAAAGTCAGACTGTTAATCATGTGGAAGATGCAACATAATTAACGAACACTTTGATCAGAAGACATTACCTCAGGTACTTAAGTGATAGATGCAATTCAAATTAAAGTAAAGGTTTGCATTTTACCTCTGAAGTCTCATTGTTCATATCAGCAGAGGGCTGGTCAGACTCAGATGTCTGGGAGCCTCCTTTTCCAGGAGTCTGTTTGGACAGACACAGACAAAATGTAAAAGAAAGAACAGCAGAGGAGGAGAGGGAGAGTGAGAAAGAGAAAGAGGTCTGTATGGATTGGACATCTCTATCACATGCGCCACTTTGTTTCTTTGGCACAGCTGAACGTGCCAGACCGTAGCGTGTACTGGGCAAGCGACTGAGCAATTCGGTTGGCCTGGCTGTTACATTCCACACACTAGGAACCACCAGGATTAACTGGTGTCAATCCAGCCTTCTGCTATTCCCTAATAACTTTTAGAAATAAATCATTGTGAAGTATCTTCACAGTGTGGACAGCTATTACCAAATCATAATATCCAGTACTAGACCCCTCATAGGCTATTTAAAGAGGATTCATTTAAAAGAGAAACAATAAATCAGGAGGTAGATTCTCTATAAAGTCTTTCTTGCATCTTGACTGACTCTCAGGAAGGAACAATGTGACAGTATTGTATGATGGCACCCACTCATTAGGCTGTACTTGGCATGGCTATCATTTGAGGGGCAGTTGAGGACATACATGAGAGTGAAACACAACACTGGTATAGAGAAGCGGCGAACCATTTCCCTTACCAAACTCTGACCCTAGCAACCAGAAAACAGCAGGCAGTACTGATTCAAACATTACTACATGACACCACATGGCACATCACTCACATTTTCCAAGTAGGTTAAATCAAAGTCAGTGAAGTAATAGGAAGTTGTATTTAAACAACAAGAAAACTGGAGGCCAGCTGTTTTTCCAGAGCAGTGAGTCATTAACTTCTTTAAGTCAAAAGGGCATCAACTATTATATTAACACTAATAATATTACTATTATAATAGTTATTCAAATGGGTTGCACAATATATTTTAACCTAAAAAATATATAATAACAATAACAGTAATAATAACAATAATAATATGAATCCTTTGCTGATAAACTGCTACGCTGTACATGTGTATATATCCCCTCAGAGACACGGACGGCTACATACTACACACACAGGGAGAGACACGCGTACAAGTAAGTAAGTAAGGCAGCAGTCATGAAGCAGGTTTACTTAACTGGCTTTCTCAGTGCAAAATAACAGCAGGATATGATGGTGGCACCAGTACTGCCAGTCCATCCTTAATATTTTCCCAATTCAATGAGATTTAAAACAAGTTCCTGCATATGTGCATCTCTAACCTAATTTTTCTCCTGGAGAACAGACAAACATCGGCTTAACAGCATCAGTTTTCCAGGTTTTCATTAACCTGGGTTATTTTAGTCCCCACAATGAGCTGAATACATGGCAATGTTGATGAGCAGGGGTACTGTAACTGGGCCTAGATCAGCAGAGGACAGCTGGTTTTACAATGAGTCATTCAGGATTTCAGATGACTCTTAACAGGGATAATTCAGATAACTCTTATAGTAATAATAATAGTAATAATAATAGTCAAATAGGTTCAATTTAGAACCATACACAACACATTATTTATCAGTCTGAAGAACAATTTCACCATTTTAACGAACAATTTAGGCATGAAATACTTCTATATAAAACTCATGGCTCTAAACAGAACAATTCCTTTTACTAAAGAGCCCTTGAAGAACCGCCTTTAGGAGTGCACAAGAACCTCGTTTGGTACTATACAGACCCCATTTCGCTACATGATGATCCATCTTTCACCCACTGACAGAAACAGAAGCAGATCAGCGTCAGCCTTCTGACACAAGACCACAGCACCACCTCGTAAAATGAATGGAAAATGTATGATAATAAGAACATTTAACGATAACAATGTTTCTCTCGTGAGCTCCATACACTGTTTTTTCAGTCCCACATTTAATCATTTTCAGAGGACGCTCACATCAGCTGGCTATCGCCCACTAGCTCATCTGATACAGCGGCTAGTCAGTGACTGGGCTACAGCTAACCCAGCAGTGTTCACTCAGACGGAGACCCGCTACGATAATAAACACTCGTACTGTCACGCCAGTCAGGCGTGTCGTTTTGCTCTGGTACATTAAATTTAAACTTTATAACTGTCACATGAGCATGACTAACAGACAGGCCTCCGTCTCAGTTCTTCTGTCTGCAGCCTGCCGCTGGCTTTCAGTGCAGGCCGCCAGACAAGCCTCCACTGACGGGAGTTAGCGTTAGCCGTCCGCCTCTGATTAGCTAGCTAGCTAGCCAGCCCGCTAGCTCACCATACTGAAACTGGAGTAACGTAACAGGTTTCTCCATTTGTCTTACCATTTGTAATATTCGTCTGAACATTTTCTTCGTTTGTTTTTCTTTAGCTAAAATAGTCAGAGATTTTTTCCTCGCTGGTGTCTAATGTTTTTCTCTGATGTTGCCACCTGCCCGGAGCGCAGCGTCCAGCCAGCACATGAGCGGGAAGGCGGGTCTGTGGAGCGGTGGGGAGGGACTCGCACACAGCGCGATAAGGCAGGATTTTCTGGCAGTATTTTGCTTAACTGTTATTTTAAACCATGTCAGCTCAAGAACTGTAACACGACCGACTTAATCTAAATCAGTTGCTTTCTATAGTCGTCTCATTCTCACACCAAATTCATTTGTGGTCACTCATCACACACGATGGTATTTTCCACTAATACCAGACAGCAGATGTCTACCACCTACTGGCCCGGAGGGAGGAGGTGGACCCTCTGTGGCAACAGTAAAATTGCAGTTGTTGACAGCATTCAATTCCACTGATTTAATACGCAGGGTAACGGAGAAACAACCGCTTTTTCCACAATACCACAAACAAGAAGGATCTGAATCTAGCATGTGGATTCACTGTCAGTAGGCCTGTAACTAGCAGTATTCTTGGTGGTGGTGAACACTGTAGACCAGTCTTTCCTATCCCTGGTCCTGGAGGCCCACTGCCTGGCACATTTTAGTGCTTTCCTTCCTTCAAATCGCCCACTTCAATTAAGAAAGGGCTTCTTAATGGGCTGATTATTTGGATCAGGTGTGTTGGGAGCAGGGAAGACACTAAAAAGTGCAGGGCAGTCGGCCTCAAGGACCTGGCGCTAAGAAACACTGCTCTAGACAATAGAAACATACTTTTACCCAGAAATTAATTTTAACAAACCCATGTACCCCCCTACTCTTCAGCAAACTGCCTAACACTGATGTTTTGCTTTGAAGTTTAGTTGCCTAACCTAAGCTGGGTATAGTGCATGGCAAAGTGCCAAGAGATGATGCCTTTGCTTTTCTTATATCTTATAATGTAGAAAGAATTTATGGTGTTCCATCTCTTGCCATTGTTATGGTAAAACATATTTACAAATTAATAACATTGTGATTATTTTCAACAGACCAAATACACAGAACTGTGAAATGATTTGTCTAGCATTCAATGAATTCTGTAAAGACAAAGTTTTTGAGTTTATACTGGAGATCGTCCCAAATATTCAGCATGCTGCAGCCACAGGGAATTGTGTATGTTTATATTTGCATCTTAAATTAATGTTGTCATTGCCATCATTCATTCTCAATACCAAAAGAATACTCAGTCCATATGATGTGACTCGCAAAGAGCAATACAGCATTGGCACAAAAAAGAAACGCTGTTATAATCTGTTAAATGTGCAGTTGTTCTTTTGCCTACAGTTCTGCCATTTTTGTTAATACATGTTAAATATCACACATTTGACTCAAACTTTGGCTCAAAACACTTGTTGCCTTGTCTTGGCTTTGAGGATAAACACAAACAATAGCACCAAAAGTTTTAACATGTTTAGTTTACATAAACAAATTTCAAAAATAGTTTCACTGAAGTTACATTGGGGAAACAGGTTGAAGTTTCTTTAAGTGCATGGAAAATGAAGATTACATGAGCTTAGGTTGAGTTCACATTTAAGACCAACCTGTGAAAACAACTCAAACGTTCACAGCATGTTAGAACTACAGTATCGGCATAAAATAATGTCATCTACAGCGATCAAAAGCATTGAACATGAGGATGCATCTCCTTTAAAGGCACCCGGCTCCTTCATTTCAAATCATACTATTGTACTTTGACATGTTTAAGAAAATAGCATTAAAAAAAAGATTCTTTTTTGCAATTTGGTTGTGAATTTTTACATCAAGTATTTTTTGCTCAGCCTTATAAACCTGTTAACATCTAATGAAGCTTTAGATTCATTTTCAACATTCTTTAAACCACCACTCAAACCATGAATAAATAACACTACAAATTCAACAGTTGTTTTTCAGGACTCCTTCGCCTCTTTGTAATTCCATCAAAGGCACGCAGCCATAGTTCACACTCCAAAACGTCCACCAGTGCCATGACAGTCTTCACTTCCTGCTCAATTCCAACAACTGTTTGCCTGTAGGAAACCTTCTGCAAAGAACCCTCTATACACACTTCAAGCTTGACCCATGGGTCAAAGACAGGTTCTCTACCAGCCTTTGGTTTCTCAACAGTTAAAAAAAAACAAAAAAAAAAACAAAACATCTCTCAAATAGTAAACGTGGAAATGATACATGCAAAAAATAGTCTTTTCTAGTCCAAGGAGAACGTCCTTTGTGTGGCACACAGCTGCCCCCTGTTGGCAGTTCTATCTGTGTAAGCGCGGCAGCCCACAGTCCTGTGAGGTGCTTTGGTGGAGTGGGGCGTTATCATCCGTGGGCTCCTGACTGTTGCCGTTGGTGGGGCCACAGCGAGGGGTGAGTCTGCGGAGGTACTCAGCATGAACCGGCTTGTGGCACTGCAGCACCCGGATAGCCTCGTCAATCTTAAACCACTTTCTCTTGCGACCTGAGAAACACAATGAACACTGTGAAATATTTTATACCTCAGTATACACTAGTATTTCAGATGACATGATGAAGTTGAGTTGTAAATCCACTGCTGCTGTTACCACATAGGACACCATGTTTACAAATAATGTGATAACCCGACAAGCTAGTAGCATAACTGAGCTTAACTATGGATGCTGTGATCACATAAAGTGTTCTTAGTTCTTAGGAACCCTAAATGAAAAGTTTAATTCCAAAATATATATCCATATATAACAATTTTGGAATAACAGCTGAGGCATGTTAAACATTTTCATTACTCCTATAAAGATGGTAGTAATATAGCACTGTTATTTCTTGTATGTGTAAAGCTTACTCGGAACAATAGATATGACAATAAAAAATAAAACCCATTAAATACATTCTTCATAAATTTGTTGGTTTTAAACAATTTAAATTTTTTTTTCAGATATTCTACATAAATCGATCATTAAGAAGTAAACAAAGTAATTCAGAGTAGAGAAACTTGGCGTGGTACTGTGGTAGTGATATGAACCAGCGATCGCAATATCTACAACGCATGTACAGCCTTTTTGTTTACTACCCAAAATAACCATTGAACCTACATGTGTCTCAGAGTCTTTAGATGTAATTTTGATAATGATAAAGTAATGGTAAACGCAAAAAACTTCAGGTACCATTTTACCTTACAATACCCTGCATGTACCTCTTCACCCTGCATAAATTTTAAAAATATGAAAACAACTCATACAAATCTTAAAACAATCTCTCAGGCATCAGGCAATGTATTTGTAGCCATTTTGTGTAATAGTTTTCTGTGAGGCAGCTTTTAGAGCCCATATGTCACAAGGCCAATGGGCCAGATCAGGCTCATGGCACAATCCACTCCAGCCCTCGAAATTATTTAGATTTTCTGTTAGTATTAGCCCATTTCACAATCAGCAACACTACAATCCCTAGCATGCACTGCAACGCAATTTGCATTTTTTTTAATATGGCCCTTTTAGTGGTTCAGTTTGACACCCATGTTTTAGAGGCATTAAAGGGGAATTCCACCAATTTTTCAAAATTGCTGAATAAGTCAGTTCTTGAGACGTAAACAAAGTCATTGAGTGGTTTGACGTGAAGTGGTTCTTTGTAGGGAAACTTATAGACTTCTTTACTTATAGATTTCTTTACAGTGGTGGTGATTGGAACCAGGGGTAACCATGTCAACAACACACATATAGACATTTTATTTACTATCCAAAACCACCAGTGAACCTGGATGTGTCTTCTGAGGTTTTATGTATAATGTTGATGTTGGTTTAAAAAAAAAGTAAATCTGAAAAGGTTTTGGGCTTATTTTGTTTTTGGGCTTATTTTGCCTCATAATGCCCTACATGTACACGTCTACCATGAATTAATTAAAATAATTGGATTAAAAAAATACATTATAAGCCAAAACATAACCACAAAACTATTGTAAATATATATATATAAGCATTTTATGTAATAACTTTATTGGGCTGTGTTCCTAAATATGGTTCAACCAGTGTAAGTGTAAACACCCCCGAATTAAATCTGGCAATCTGCGCTTAAACCTCGCTATTCAATTCCAAAACAAAATGTCCAACATGAATTATGGGATTGTCCAATTACTTACAGACTGCAAAGTATATTTTTAAATCTGTGAATATCTCTTACACACATACATACTCTTCTTTCCTCTGTGTGTAAAGCTTGCCTCTCTGAGTGTATTGAGGTTATGATGCCCTATTTGGCAGCCATAAGTCCAGGCAGAGTGAGCGAGGGAGGCCAGGGAGAGGGAGTGAGGAAAGTGGAGTGCAGTGACGCTGACTGGAAAACAACTGTGGCACGCCTCCCAGCAAACAAACTCTGGGCTATTTATACGGCAGCAGCAAGCAAAGGATTACCAGGTTTTCTCTTTCCACACCATCTACAAATAGTTCAAGTTTTGAATTACACAGTCTGTGGGCAAACAGTTATTTTTATGGTGTCACCCCAATAGCAAAAATGCAGCAAGTAAAGAGATTTCTATGGATTAACTGTGTGTTTGCAAAAGGCCTTAAACAGCAATGTAAAACTGTCCTTGCTTTCTTCATCATACAGCTATCCAGGTATGCCCTGACCATAAACGTATTTTTTGCTAGTTCGGACCAGACCGAAAGTCCCAGCCTCTAAACCAGTAAAGCTCTGTATTTGCAGGGCAAGTGCTTAGTGGACTTAAAGTCCCCAGTTCACTGCAGGTGGCCGGTGAGTTCACTCTCAATGTGGGGTCCACTCTCATTTTTTTTAAAGAAGTTTCAAACTGTTAGTAATCAAACATAGCACATACACCGATCAGGCATAACATTATGCTTGTTTCTACGCTCATTGTCCATTTTATCAGCTCCACTTACTATATAGGTGCACTTTGTTTTACAATTACAGACTGTAGTTCATCTGTTTCTCTGCATACTTTGTTAGCCCCCTTTTACCCTGTTCTTCAGTGGTCAGGACCCCCATGGACCCTCACAGAGCAGGTACTATTTGGGTGGTGGATCATTCTCAGCTCTGCAGTGACACTGACATGGTGGTGGTGTGTTAGTGTGTGTTGCGCTGGTATGAGTGGATCAGACACAGCAGTGCTGCTGGAGGTTTTGATAAAATAGACAATGAGCATAGAAACAAGGAGGTGGTCATAATGTTATGCCTGATCGGTGTATAGTTGACCAGCAATAAACACTACTTCTCTGAAAAGAAAAAAGGCAGAAAAAAAAGGCAAAAAAGGGCAAACTGGGGGTATTCACACCCAACTGAGTATGATATGGATTTAGTCACAACATGTCTGTTATTTTTTTGTCAGAGACGCTCCCTTAGATGGTTATTGGCATAAGACCATTCACTGGAATCGGTGGTTGGCATAGGAAAAAATCCAAATGGGAAATGAAAAGATCAGGGCCCCATTTCCTGAAAGCTAGCAGGGTATCAGCTATAGCTACAGAGCAGAGGTAAGACCCAAAGTCAGACCTACTCTACCATACAGCCACAATGATTGCGCTACAAAACTTATGGGGTACACAGCAATGAGACTCCTTGCTGCTTAGAAACATATCAATTACATTCATTTAAAAACGGGGAGTATTTATAGGACTGGTAGGTTTTTGTGGTGGATGAAACAGAGGCTGCCTCTTCAGATGGGATTTAAAACTTATAACTGGTACAATACTAAGATGGTGGCGACTCATCGTCTTGAACAAGCTATTTTTTCCTCAATGGATTATGTGCTAGTTTGTCATAGAAATAAATTTCCATTGTTTCTAGACCTAGTTAACATCAGCCAGACTAGCAATGTGCTCACATTTAGGCACATTTAGGTGTTTTAGAGTGGCAATAATTGTAAAGTGTAATATACTTACTTACTCACTAATATGAGCAACAGATATAAAAAAATTAATACTGTTTATCTGATGGTGGCAGTGTTGGTGGTCTGCCAGGTCTTGCACAGGTGTTGGGCACCCCATTTTCTCCATTTTAGGTAAGAGGAAGGTACCCAAGGTGTGTTTGGGAAATTGTTTGTGTAAATTGTAGTGTCTCTTTAAAGGGGTGAGCGACACCTTTGGTGATCAAGTGAACAGCTTTTGTTGGGAGGACAGTGTGACTTGTTGGTTTTAAGGTTGGAAGGATAGAAGAGTTTTGGGGCAGTAGGGTGTGTTATACTGATAGATTTGATATTACACATGTTGGAGGCTTTTGTGTATCTATTAAATATATGTTTCCTGCATTTTTCCCGACGGTGGAAAAAATGAGTAACTTGTACTTCTCGGCTGTTTGATTGAAAATTGAATAACAAAAGGTCTCTGACTTCTGCACACTAGTGTGCACAGAAGTAGTCTGTACAATGTGTATACAAACGTATACAGTAAGTATACAAATGATATAGCTTCAGGAATGAAATGAAAAATGCAAGAAAACCATAGAAATTAACAGCTCGTCTAAACAAGTCCTGCATGAACCTACCAATGTTAACAGAGTCCTCCCAGTCCTCCAGTGTCTCGGTGACGGTAAGCACATACACGTACGTTCGATGCTTGCTGTCTTGGTTCTGCTGCCAGAATGGGAAAAAAAACTGTTTCTGATAGTTACTACAATAACATGATGTAGAAACACACCGACTTCTATAGTGCATTTCACAATGTAAACCACAGAAAATTCATCATGAAGAATTACTGTGTCCACAACCGTCATACAGTAAGACTAGATAAAATGCAGAGTGGAATATTGAAGCCTCTTGAGGCTTTGTGATTTTTTTTCAATGTTGCATGCTAGCAGGGCCTAAAGAAACATGACTTTATGCAATCCAGGTCGGCATCTTACCTCAAAAACCCCCAGTAGCCTGCCAAGGTTGCCCCTTACACCAGCCTGTTCAGTCAGGAATAGACAGGGGAAAAAATAAGTGTGGTACATCCTCAGGAAGAGGGAAAAAAACAACATCTGCATTCTTCACTAGCTACAAGACGCTACTTTTTCATGATGTTATGCCTGCTGGCCTATCCCTGAAACTTTTAGCATTATAAATATATCTAGCATTAATAACTTGTATTTTAATATACTTACAAAGTGGACTGTATGACAATGCATGCAGACAACCACAAAAACAATGGTCCATACTCGACCACGTTTGAATTATGAGACTGATGTAGGTGAAACACATGACCCCTTGGGAAAGGACCTGACCTTTAGGCCTGAGTTGCACTACTTGTATCATAAAAAGAGATATATGGGTCTGGCTATGACATAACAAGCAGGACCGTCCAGTAGAGGTGTCTGATCACAGCGGCTTAAAAAAAGAGGATGGGCACACAGACTTGCTGGAGCTGAGCCAGCCTCCTGACCCAGGCAGATGAAGCTGATCTGAGAAGCCTGAGCTGTATATTTCCATAACACAGAGACCAGATTCCAGCATGCTTGCATAAGAACAGCGTGTCAGCTCTTGAATACTGCGAAATAACCTGACCGGTCTCTGGTTACCCTGTCTACAGAGGTCCACTCCCACTGACTGACATATTCCCAGGACAACTTATTATCAAAGATGTTCCAGTGTGATTGTTATGTAAGCTGCACTAACCACACACATTTTTCCTCACATAAACTCAGTGTTGGTTTTCATTCCCAGTCAGTGTCCTTTTTTGACACTTATTTTGCCGTTCAATAAATATGTGCCAGACAAAGCAGGCAACCTCACCAGACCTCTAGCTGGCGAGGCGCTATGAGCAACAATAGTATTCTGTCACAAACGATCACTGCAAAGAGCATTGCTGGCACAAGCCCAAAATTCAGAGAAGCTTTTTTTGATCAGGGCTTTCAAACACTACCCTACCAAGTCTGTCCTCACATGATAGAGTAATGTGCCCCAAATCAAGCTCTAGAGATGACAGATACAGTAAGTCATCATGAAATCAAATCTCAAAAAATAGCAGCGTTTCTTTGGTGGTGGGATATAGAAGAAGCTCGCTGCTGTTCACAAGAACCCTAAGTCATCCCACCACTGGCAAAGCTCCAGGAGGTAGAACGGACCCCTTGAGACTTGCCATGCCTGGCAGAATGCTGTAATTTATAAGCAGGTTTATAGGCTGCTCCTGGATTTCTCAGTGTCTCTAACACAGGTTAGGTTACAGCTCTTCATGCATCATGAGACAAACAGATCCCTAGAAATTTCAAGCAAACATTACTCGGGCTGTCTGAATCCCTGAATAGCAAACAGTGCATACAGTGTATACAAAACATTTGAACCTTAATTCAAATGTAGCCTGGGTTAGGCTTCTGAGAAAAAATGGTGAGTTAGTATAAGTAAAGCTGAAAAGGTGCTAGATGTGGTATTAAATAAGGAGCTATATTCAGTAAACAGTTCAGGATATGCTGTTAATGCATTTGATAGTTTGTTAAGTAAAACAATACAATGTCATTTATACATGACAGAAGTAGAGCTGAATGATATGGGGAAAATATCTAATACTTTAATATATAATATTTGTTAATGCAATTTACATTGGCCAAGAAGCCCAGACCTTCTACTTATATACTACTTGAGGTTTGAATGTCGAACATAGCGCCTGCCAGACTGCAAGTTAGATGTGGATGTGCTGCCATCTAGACAGTATACAAGTGTTAAGTTGTTTCTGATTGGTCAAACTTATCTACAGGCAGTTCACAAGCTCAGTGTTTTAGGTTACATTTCACTTAAAACATAGGACAACGCTGCTGATAATGTAGGCTATATTTAAAACTGCAGCTTCTGCAAATTTAAAATTGCAGTCTCGAATTGCCATTTTCATAAAAAAAAACAATAAATCTTTTAGCCCTAGACAGAATTTTATTCTTATATCCTTGCCTGTTGTGACTGTGAGAGGTTTTGACATGGCAAAACTGTTTTCAACCGGTTTATTCATAAAGATCAACACGGCAAAATCACTTTCAAACTTTGGCTTCTGTGGAAAATAAACAGAAACTTTGTGCAGCATTCATATTTTTGCATTCCATCATATCCCTGTGTGCATGTAGATATGACTGTCCTTGTTTAGGGCACTGGACACCCTGCTATGATATAACCTTACATATGGTTGCACAGAATTCCTAATCTTCAAAAAAATACTGCAACCAGGTAGAGATATGTTGATCATTGTTTGGTGTATTGCTGTTAAAAGAGATATATAAACTCATGTCATCTGTTCTGACATTAATTGCTCTGTCTTATCAAGTGTGACATCTATAGCTTTCAGCAGCAGGACAGACTTGTCATTTCTTTATATAGCCAAATATGTCCCGTGTCTAGCCTTACTTTGAAAGTCATTAGTCAAGCGTAACAAGACCTCTGTAGATTAACGAAGCCAGAGGGGTGACTTTCAGCAGCTATTAAAATGCATCAAATATCAGAGACTAATTCTCTACAAAGGGAAAGCTTAGCGCTTTCCATGAGCATATTGAAGATACCACACTCAAACTGAGGCAGTCATGAGCTTCCAGACATTGGAAGTGACTCCTTCAGCCTCATTCAGGGACATGTCTTATTCCAAATGGAGGAGGCCAATGGTAACAGGACACTGCCTCCAAATGTCACTGCCATGTCTCACAGTTGTCAACAGTTGACCCCATGGGGCAGCCTTGCCCAATGCTCCTCCAACATCACGACAACTACAACCTACCCTTGTTAATCAACCACAAAACCATTAGCACTGTAACATCCTAGACATAACGAGTGTAGAGGCACAAAGTGGAAGGTCAAAAGTTAAGGTCATAACTACTGGTTGATTATGATTACTGGTGGTTGGTGAACCCAGAGTACTGTGGTGGTATCATATGAGCATGACTCTCGTGCCTAAAGGGTCTAAAACGGTTTGAAGGTGTGGGTAAAAGTTCACAGGAATGCAGCTTTGCAGGAAAGGCATGCAATAAACCTAGCTCAGAGTAGTTTTGATGGCTGTGGCCAGTGTTGTAGTATTCTCTTACATAAAGCACCCTTAAGAAAGCTGGCAGGACTAAGTTGCCAACATGTGTGTGACATGGAGTCAGTACACAGTTTCACTCCCAGGAATATGATCGTACAAACTCCCGAAGTGGACCATGACCAGTACGTATCCATTTTAGAATAAGACAAGTGCCTCTGCACTAATATAAATTTCAACATCGCAATTCACACAGCTATAAACCAAAGAGGAAACGTTAAAAGAACAAGGGTCCTCTTGCAATGGATTTGGAACTACGGCAGTAAAAAAATCATTTAGGCTGTATTTTGTTGATTTTATTTCTGTGTTTATGTCTGTGTTTTATTTACACCTTTCTCCCAAACTGAACGGAGAGAAGGAGTGAGTTTGTATGTGGGCTAAGCTCACCTCTTCATAGACTTCCCTTACAGCGGCTCCACACGGCTCCTCCTCCGGCTCCATCCCCCCTCCTGGAACGATCCACTGATCCGGGTGCCGGCTGCTGCTCACAAGCAACACCTGCCAATGACCCCCCCACCACATATCACATATACACACACACACACACCAAACACAGAGGTAAAGCTCAGTCAGCAAGCAGCCAAACCCACCATGATAACCAGCTTATCACCATATCAAAGTTACGTAACTGATGGCATCCAGGCAATGCTAGCAGCAAAGACACACATCCACCCCAGCTGTGGTCAGAACGTGACATTAGTCAAATGAGTACAATTATAACACAGAGAGAGTAATAGCCCTTAGACGTTGAGAGCTATTATTATCGTTTTGCTATGTATTCAATTTACATTACACAGTTATGTATTCAATTTACACACTTTACACACTTTACATTCTGTAGAAACAGGTTTTCATAGTCTATGTGAAATAATAACAAAAACAAGGCTTTTTGTTTTGCTTTTCCACAATACAAGACTATCTTTTATGCTCATGAACACAAATATGGTTCGGCTGAATCTTCCAAATAATTTGAAAGCATATTATTCAAACTTATCAAAGAAGTTCTCTGTTGTTTCAGTGAGTTGTGAGTGAGAAATAAACAAAACAAAAGCAGAGGTCTATATGGGGGTTGAGTAATCTATTCAAGCTATCCTGTACTTAATTTTTTATTTGTAGAAGCACTGATTATAGTTAAAAGTATGTGCTCAGTGTGGCTAATCCAAAAAAAAAAAAGAAATCATTTTTAAATCATCTTAAGCTGTTATGTTTGCTCTGGGCCTCATTTGACTCAGCCATTTATATTTAAAGTTCCATTTGCATGCCCCTTCCCCATGACTGATCAGCAGTAAACGCAGTTGCACATCGGCACTTGAACATGGTTTGCTTTTAATTTCCGCTATCGCTCTAAAGCAAACTGAGAATAACCTGATCTGATCTGAGCACATTCACCTAATTCTGCATTATGCAACAAATCATCTTGCTTGATCATCAAAATATCCTTTAAGAAGATCAGGCAGGCTCATAAAGTCATGAGCTCTGACAGATAAATAAGGCTTTCTTGGTTCATTCTCCATAAGTGAATGGATGTATTAGACCAACTAAAGAAATGTGGATTTTGGAGAGAAGGATATGTGAAAACAATATTAACTAAAAAGCATAGCTTACTATTTCATACTTCTAGGAGAACAGACAGTGCCCTTGTATGTACTGAGACAAGTCAAAAGTAATATTTTTGCTGTATGTCCAAAATTATTGGATTAAAGACTAAAAACATGATTAAAAATACGAGTTTTATTAGTAACTCAATTCTCCTCATGGTTAAGGAGGCAATAGCTGATCAGGGGAAGAGTAAAACTCTTTAAAACAGACTCTTCAGACTGAGGGAGAAAAGACAAGAGCTTGGGACCGGATACAGGAGACTTTTATTCATGTAAGGCATATTTTTGCAGTTATTGTTTTATTTTCTGTTTTTGATTTTGAAATGAAGCTGTTGTTCATCTGTGCTGATCACTGACTGGGGCTTCCTGAGTCCTTGTTTGGTGTCTTTAGCATGTTCCTTCGGAGTCATTAGGCAAAAAGAACATTACGACTATGGAACTGAAATTGAGACAACTTTAACCTTTAACATTTATATTTTCATACATCTACAATTAACACACTCACTGTGTCACTAACTTTCTGCTCCAAGGTGGATAACCCTTACATGTATGCACAGCTGACAAACACTCTGTTCTCTTTAATCATTGAGAGCCAACTCAAGGCGCAATTCTCTGATTTCATCCATCACTGCGACCTCTGGACACCCTCCTATCGTTCTCCCTCCTTAATGCACTAATGCGAAACAGCTGCACTAATGTCTCTTCAGTATCTAAATATGACATCTGTCTAGTTTCTATTCTCATCTCTCCACATTAGGCTGATCACACTGACTCCAGCTCTAATGAGGAGCTAAAACCTCCAGCGTCATGGAGGGATTGAGAACTACTGGGATTCTACTGAATACTGTGAATTTTAATCAGCATTTTAGAAGGTAATTCAATATCAGACAAACCACTTCAGACAATTCGGTTTCAGTACAAGTGACAGAATTGTGTAGGTCATCTGGGTGGAAAAAAAGACTAAAACAATCCAACGGAAGCCAAAGTGAGAATTCAGAGAATTCATTAAAACCCAGCAGACTGATTGAACTGTCCCAACCAGGCCAAATAAAATATGGCAGCAATTCTTCAGCCAAACCTCAGCTCAACAATAAAAGACAGCCCAGCGGCCAGTACTGGTGCAGCAGATATTGGGGCCATCTGACTGATGGGTCACATGCCCTGTCAGGGCAGTACTGCCTTGCTGCAGATAGTAACTAGTTACATTTACTCAGTTACATGCATGAGAAAAACAAAAAAACAAAATGTATTTGAACGAGTATTTTTTAATCATATTGTTTTTTAAAAAAGAACAGCCAAACAAATTTCTTCTGCTGACTAATTCTGGATGTATAAAAAAAGTTCTGTTGCAATCCATTACTGAAGGCTATTCTGGCTTAAAACTAACGTTTAAGATGTGGTTTGTCATGAAAGAGGCAGTTTTTCCAAACTCTCATAATTTTGACATTGTAATACTTTTACTTCTACTCAGTTATATTTTTGCCATTCATGTTCAGTTACTAATTCTTTTTTTGTGTTTAATTTTATTCTGTTTTGTTGTTGACCACATCTGTACTGCTTTGTGATTGGTCACATCTGACTTTGGAGCTTCAGCATTTAATTGTAGATCAAAATAATCCAAAAATCCAGTGCAGTTCTAAACGTTACTCAGCACTTAAGCAAGTTTTTCACCTGGTACTTTTGTACTTTTTTACTCAAGTTGTTTTATTTGATGGTACTTGTGTCATTATTTTATCCTAGCATCAGTACTTTTACTTGAATATTGATTTAGGTTACTCTACCCACCTCTGGTGTTTTCATTCATCAATGTTCTTGCACTACACTCAGCAGGCCTTAAGCAAATACATCATACAACCACTGAGAATCCCTGTGGTGTCAACAAATCCTGACTGCTAGCCTAGCCACTGATTTAGGCTCCTAAATATAACAAAGCTAGCATTAGTGTAGTTCTTATATTGGTTGGTGAGCAAAATTGAAGAAAGCCTGCGGAGTATAGTATACTTAGAAGTGAAAAATATATGGAGGCGAGTGTCAAAGTCAGAGTGATTACCCAGCATACAAGAGAACACCCTCATACATTGAGATTTCCCCCTCCAGACACCTCCAGCCTCCTTCTACTCCTCATCTGATGGGTTATTTCTTTTGCCCAAGGAATCCATTCCTCCACTGTAATGATGATTTGAAGAGTTACCACAGTTACACAACTGCAATAAAACATTTAGCTTCCTAGCGGTAATGTAAGCTATCTGGCTTCCTTCTGTTTTCACCAGCTAGATCATAAAAACAAATTCAAACACACTGCCCCAAAAATCCATGCCAAACCAATTGTAGTTTATCACAAGCACTCTTCAAGATGAGTCATCAGGAGGGGTTTTCTTGGTCTTTAAAACAACAAAATCTCCCTCTGGAGCAGTGATGTCTGATCTTATCCACAAAGGGCTGGTATGGCTGCACGTTTTCATTCCAAACGAGCAGGAGCACACCTGATTCCACTTGTTTAATCAATTGCTCAGCCTTCAACCAACTGATCATGTAAGCTCTTGCTTTGTTGGAATGAAAACTTGCACCCATACCGGCCCTTTGTCGATAAGACTGGACACCTGTGTGGCACTACTGTAAAAGCTGTAGTAGTATTAGGTGTAGTTTTTATATTGACTGTAGTGTACTTTTATGAAGTTGTTTGATCTGGTACTCCTGCTTAAGTTGTTTTTTGGAAAGATCATTTTACTTGAGTCATTATTTCATAGAAGTTCCCAAACTTTTGCCTGAGTGTGGGTTTTAGCCAGATATACACTGTGTGATTTTAGCCCATTTTTAAGTCAATCTGGTCGGAGCTGACTGAATTTTATGATCGGGCTGAATTTCAGCCTCATCTGCTGTCGTTTGACATGCAGTGTAAGGAGGGAAGTGATGCCTGATTAACTGTGAATGCACTTTGTCCAGTATGAAATTGTGCACACGGAGTGCAGGAGCCAGTATTTTAATTCCTATGTAGAGAGCAGGGAGACGTTTGAGATTTAGCCGAATTTTTTCTTGGGACCCGGACGTTTAGTGTCATTCATTATTCTGAATGAAACAGCTTTATTGGAAATTGTCCATAGACAGAGCTGTCTGTCGATACTGCGTTTCACCTGCAGTGTGAGCACCCATGCTGCAGCATGTCTGAAGCTCTGAAGCATTTTTCAGTGCCTGTCCATGTATTCAACAATCTTACTGCATACTGCTGCTGTCGCTATAGCAAAAGGGTGATGTTTTAAAATGGTGATCACTTAAATGGAAATAACTTCATAAGCGTTTTAGTCTTGTGGGCCCTGACTTGGAGAATTTGTAAACCCAGATGAAAAGTGGAAAGCCAGTTAGAAAAAAACCCTTACTGTTGATCCCTGCCAGTGACATATCTCTTGTAACACTGACCCTGTTCAGAGATTCCCATGCCAAATGTGCCACTGCTCTGGCCTAATGCGTTTCATTAACACTGTGGCATTTACATTTCCACAGGGAGCAGCAATAAATCAGATTCCACCGAACCACCTCTCACAATAAATTAACAATAAACGAACTCAGTAAAGACATCTGATTGCAAGTCAACATATTACTGAGCTACTATGCACCGTTCACAAACTTGGAGAACTGTTCTCCTGCATTAGCACGTTATACAATTACAACTCAAAGGCTCAAAAGGAGAAAGTGTTTATGGTATGAGGTCAGGGGGATAAATGTTCATGGGGCACGTATCTGAGTGTGACATTCTCTCTGAAACAGCAGTACTGGACACAAGCTGACACTGAAACTAACACTACAGCACTGATGAGAGCTTAAGCAAAACTTTACTTCACAGTAAACTGAACTAGATAACAACAAGGATGTGGTCACAACAAGCTGCATCGCCCACAGAAATAC